CATCCGCAAAAAGGATACAGGTATACCCTAACAGATTTTGGATAATTCCAGATGCCCATAGTGCTTACAACTTAAACTTCTTAGACTTGTGACATTAAACCTTCTGTGACAATGTTGAAGATATAGGCGAGGCACACCGTGTTGATATGTTCAGCACCAAGGACAGGACCAATAGACCGATCCTGACTGTTCACCGCAATTAGGAGTTTAACCAATGATGGCATCGCAATTAGTTGCTCGACCAATGAGAGAGCGGCTGCATGTCCTTCAAATTTTTGGATTTCTGTGACTTTCTTTTTTTTTTCAGGAGTTCCTCCTTCTTGAGGAAGACGACCCCGTCCTAACAGTAACCTCTCCCGTGTCTGATCCGTGTGAAGGGTACATTACTTTGCAAAATGTGTCCGCCGCCTGGAAGAAAACGGTAAGTCCTTCGGGCGATTGCTGCCTTGTTTTTTCCCAAGCGGAAGCATTTTTCGGTAACTGAGTAATGGGCTCGTGTGTCTGTCTGGACAGAATAGGTTGACAAGACAGGGTGGGGAAGATTGATAGGCATGGCAGGATGATAGAAGGTCGAAAGGTCAGGAACAGGAAATGAGATTAATTTGAAGGTCAAAATCTCTTATTTCCATACTATAGTATACTATTATATTTTATTATGTGTAAGGATCTTAGACCATGAGAAATTTGTGTCGAGTTTAAGCATGTTATTTCATGCTAATATTTCATTAATATTTTACAGGCCACCAAGAAGGGATCTGAAGACAAGCAATCCCTTACAAAATCATTTCTGAGAGATGTCACATTATCAATACAGCAGGTGAGACTACTTCTAATGTTATATGATTAGTTGTGAAACTAGGAAGATTTGTTCTGTTTCTGTATCGGTATAGCCGGTATAACCACCCTTCGGCGTAACACACCAGCCTGTTATACATTCTAACGTAACATTTATCTTTCAATGCTCCTGCATACTTGAGTTATTGGGTGTATATAAACTGCAAATGATTATAAACAAACATGTTTACAAACATTATCAGTAGATGTTGTCTCTCTAACAGTGAACATGTATCATTTCTGATAGGGACAGCTGGTTGCAGTAGTAGGACCTGTTGGAGGAGGAAAAGTAAGTTCCTGTCATCCGTTACACCATCATTTACATCTATTAGCGTAAAAGAATAATACAATTCCCAACCATTTCTTTCCTGCTGTCTTCTACATAACGTTAGTACTCAGTATGTTGATGTGTCATTTGACTGTCCTAACTTGTCAGGTGTGATGATACCATCCTGATACTATAGTCCAGGCTGACATTTTCTTCCCCACAGGCCTCCCTACTAAAGGTCATCTCCGGTGAGCTGCCTACTGTGACAGGAAAGGTCCACAGACTGGGTAGCCTCGCCTTCGCATCAAAGGAGCCCTGGATCTTCCCAGGCACAGTCAGAGACAACATTGTCTTTGGTTCTGAGTTCCACCCGGAGCGGTACCGCAAAGTCGTCGCAGCATGTGGGCTGGCAAAGGTACTACCGTTTCCTATGCATGAATACATTACCAACATTTCATGACTAGACATGGTGACGGCACACTCAAGTTATATCAACCCTATTTTATACCGTCACCAACGCAAAGGACAAATACGGAACCGGACAATACTCATTTTCACTTGAGTTAAGTGAGGAAAGTCGTGTAAAGGGCACAAAATCGGTGGCAGGATTCGAACCTGGGACCTCATGGTTCCGAGACGAGTACTCTGCCGCTACGCTACACGACCTCACATTACTGGGTTAGGATGTATAGATTAGAACAGCTTGTTAGGTAACTTCTTAAATGTTGTTTAACTCTTGTAGGATGTTAGGAGATTGTCTGAGGGAGACCTGACTTTAGTAGGAGACAAAGGAGCAACCCTAAGCGGTGGACAGAAAGCTCGCATCAACTTGGCCAGGTACACGTCCTCATTTGAGAGATGTTTGCTAATTTATATATATATTACTACTGGCACTTCCTAGTTACAGATTGCCAAATGATAAAGAGGTGTGGCGGCAAATAGAGAAGTGTCTCAGTACATGTGTACCACCTTATGTTTCATGAATGCGTTTTCCATCATTACTAGGGCTGCTTATCAAAAGGCTGACATCTACCTTCTGAATGATCCCTTCAGCGCCGTGGATACCATAGTGGGACAGCACATCTTTAGCGAGTATGTTTGGTTGTATCTTGTAGTAACATATCCATTACAACTGATTAGAACTGTATATTATGGAAATTAGAATTTAGTGTAGTATCCACTGTTATTAAAAGAAAAGATGGCAGAATTGTAATGATCAAGGAAGAATTTTTTTGAGATGGGATTAAACCAGCAAAATAAAAAATGTAAAAAAAATACATTACGCAGGTGCATCTGTGGCGTCCTTGCAGAGAAGACTCGGGTCATCATTACTCACCAGCTCCAGCACATCAAAGCAGCTGATCTGATCATCGTCATGAAGGAGGTACAGTATCTGCGAGGGTCAACACTTTGTCTAAGACTGTGGCATTGGGGATACTTTGGTTATTACCTTAGTTACACCATGTATATTATAGCGGTTGCTCTTTTTTTTCATCGGTTATAACTCGGGGTGTACATGTGGTGCATGTATCTTTGCCAGGAGACTCTAGCTGTTTTAGGTACTGCAGCGAGGTACATGGGTATTTGTTTATTCAGAATTGCAAAACATGGGTATGATATTTCGTGTTGTGGTCTTGATTTTTTTAGAGTGACATTGGTGGTTGCGTAATAGGCAGTCGGCGTGGCTTTTGAACTGAAGCAATCTGCAACATACATTGCATAACACATGCCGAAAGAAATCACTATACAATGGAAATACACAAGAGAAACACAACAAACGACGACAGAGACCTCTAGTTCAAAATCCTATTCCTCCACAATGTAAACATGTGTACTACTGTGTCTACACAGGGACAGGTGTCTGCTGTTGGTTCATACGAGGAACTACAAGCCGCAGACGTAGACCTGCTATCTGCCATGCCGGGAAAGAAAGAGGAAGTAAAGGCAGCAACAAGCCAAACGTCTGGCAGAACCAATGCCATGGGACTGTTTACGGCTTTCAAAGAGTCGGAATTCTCTGATAAGGTAAAAAAATTGAAAGCATATGTATCCTGAGCTGTTTCTTGAGTTACATTGTATTGCTTTTAAGGCATGAAATTATACCACGTACAAACACACTAATCCACAAACATGCCTGTCCTTGGTGCTGAAGACTATTCAACAGCATCAATTCGTAACGTTGTGTAATGATTTGTGGCTCTATTCATTTTGTACCTACAGACCCAAATGGAATTTTTTATCTCATTTTACGTTGAATAAACGTTTCATATTCTGATTCTTGAATCACCACCTTATACTGTGTTCTTGTTTTAAAGTCATGAATCGTAATCAAAATCTTGAGATTTTGACATGATTTTTTACTGCCTAACCTGAAACTTTTGTCTTTAAATCCCAGAAAGAGAAAGAAGAGGACAGAAAGGCCGGATCTGTTACCTTACAAGTGTACCTGGACTACTTCCGGTCAGGTTGTGGACTTATCAGGGGTTCCTTCTTAATTTTGCTGATCATCCTACCACAGGTGATTCCATCTGTTTTTATCTGCTTTAATCTTAACTTAGGACATGTTGATTTTATCATATGGATGGCAAACCCAATAAAAACAATACTATACCAAGAAGTAACAAAATTATATTGAAGGCAAAGATATAAAATATCATTTCTATAACCCATAGAGTAATATTCATATTTTAATTCAATTATCGTCTTAACTTACAGGTTCCCTACGTTCTATGTGACTGGTGGTTGTCATATCGGTAAGTATCCGATACATCTTCAACCCAACATTTAATACACGTATTAAGATTTAAACATTTGTTCTGTTGTCCGACCTTTTCTGTTTTTACATGCCAGTGCCCACAGGAATCTTTAGTTTACCTGCCCATTTTTTTGTCCATGCAGGGCAGAAACAGTGCAGTTCAGCAACAATGCGATCATCTACAACAGTACTTCCAACACCAGCAGTACCTACAACACAACCACCAACAGCATATCAGCAGTTTCAGTCCCAACTACATCATTCCTGCCCATCTATGTAGGGCTTGTAGGGGCGTTGAGCGTGCTCTCTGTTGTACGGGCATTGCTGTTTTTTAATGTAGCAGTGACGTCAGCAGAGCACCTGCACAACTCCATGTTGATGAGCATCCTGCAGGCACCGATGTCCTTCTTTGACTCTAACCCTGTCGGTAGGGATGGAGTTATTTCACTTTAGTGACATTATTGTTTTGGGTGGATGCCTTGTGAGTTTTGTGTGTTTAAAGTCCAAGTAGCGATGGTAGTATATTGGCAGGTGGTTATAACATCAGATTGATAGGATGGTAAAGAATGACAGTGACATATAGCTTGGTGGGAGTCAGTGGGTGACGTTTGGAGGAATTCAAGAAGTGCAATAATACCCGATAGTAAAACCTGATACTCGATTAAATTCATACAATCAACTTCACAACTGAAGTCGTAGGATGGTATATGGATGTCATTTGATTCATTGTGGTAATAGTTTAAGTTCAAACAGTGACTGTTGTGCTTTAAAATGATATTATATTCTTCTTAAGGTCGGATCCTGAATCGTTTTTCAAAAGACATAGGAATAATGGATGAACTGCTGCCACAAGCTTTCTTTGATTATCTACAGGTGAGTTGCAGGATTGGAAGTGAGTGGGTGGGTGTTGATTGGGCTTCAATTGATTGACAGGGTTGTGACCTGCTATGTCCTGGGTGGTAGGATGTAATATGTGGTTACCACGAATGTGTCAGAAGCATTATTAATCCAGTCGTCTAGAAATTCTGAAAAATATTTTTCATGAACATTTCCATCGACATTGACTTTGAAAAATTGTTTACAGTATATCATATTCATAAGAAAACAAAATTAATAAAACAACCTTGGTTGTCTTTAGCTGATTCTAGTTGTTACGAGTGCCCTGCTGGTGTCTGCAGTAGTGAACCCCTGGGTGCTGATACCAACAGTCCCCATCACTGCAGCTTTCTTCCTCACCCGACATTACTACCTGCAAACCTCGCGAGATGTCAAGCGCCTTGAGGCCACAGGTGATTTTACTTTAGACGCTCTTAACAGGACGTCAAAATCTTATGGTACCTTTTCAAGAACACAGGAAAATGAATATTTTAGCAAGCTTCATATTTGAAGATAACGAAACATCGCTGAGAAGTCAACAAAAAGCATTTAGTGCTACGTTTTCTTTAGTTTCTAAATGAGATTCTATATCCGGATCTACGTGCCAAACCATGTAGCTATTTAGGCGTTAGTCGTATTTGTGATGGATGACAATGGATATAACGTTGTGTTTAAAGTTGTGTTTAAAGTAGACATAAACATCCTGATAAATAAATAAAAAAACAATGTTACTGCAGAGAGTTCAATATTTGCTTTACTTAAACCACAAAGTTTTATTTGGTCTCCTACACAGCAAGAAGCCCGGTGTTCTCTCATGTATCCACCACCCTCAGCGGCCTGGCTACACTGCGTGTCATGAAGATGCAGGACTCTTTCTTGAAACAGTTTCATGAGTGCTTGGACCACCACAGGTACGATCTAGTGATGTGTAGAAGTCAGTAACTGGGCAACTTTATAGCAAGCAGAAAGTGTATGTCAATTTACTACTTACTTACTTTATAGTTACGTTCATGTGTGACATTCTGAATGATAGATATAATCTCCCCGCATTTTCCCACAGTTCGGGCTGGTTTCTCTTCATCTCCTGTGCCCGGTGGTTCCAGATCCGACTGGACTGGCTCTGTGCAGCCTTTGTCGCCACAGTTGCCTTTGGTGCAGTTTTGGCCTCAGACAGTGAGTTTGTCAAGATTTCTATAACGTAAAGAAATAAGTGCTATATCATGAAGTTTAGTCAAAGTCTTATTTGGACGCCATAAACACGAAATTTCAAAATGCATGTACAGAAAATGCATGTCAAAAAGAAATTCCTATGATTTTTGACATGCAATATATGGGGTATACTTCCAATCTTAAATTCTCTCTTCATAAATACTTTTGAGGTCTGATGGGCATGGCATAAATGCAGCATAGGTTATAAACATGAGGAACTTGGAGCCAGCTGTACTTGTGTTCCCATGTAGGTGTGAGTGGAGGTCTGGTGGGCCTGTCCCTCACCCAGGCCATCATGCTGATGGGCGTGTTCCAGTGGGTGGTCAAGCAGAGTGCAGAGGTGGAAAACCAGGTGAGATTATGTAGATGTGTTTGATATGTAGACGTGTATGCTTCTGCAATCAACAAACCAGCCATGCACACATCCTGGAAAGGAAAAAAATGCCAGTGAAACCATTACCTCCTGCATTGGTCTTTGTCCTTGGTGCTGAAGTTGGTTTGACTAGTGTGATTAAAACCAGCTGCTCAACTAATTATAACATACATTGACAACGGATAGAAGCGGGAGGTGTGCCTAAGATTATTGCAGAAATGGACACATTTAGTTCTGGATACATCAAAGTCACGGTTGAGGAAAGTTAGTCATGCTTCAGAAGAGGTTTGAACTCTAAAATTCCCAGTGTTACCTATCCCACTGTACTGTATCAATTCAATGAAGGATAAGGTTGTTTGCACAGATGACATCAGTGGAACGTGTGGTGTCCTACACCCATCTGGAGAAGGAACCTCCCAGAATCCTTCACCCCCGTCCACCCTCCGACTGGCCCAGCCGGGGCAGGATCCATCTAAATAACGTCACCATGCGGTACGGCAAGGAACTGCCACCTGCCCTGAACAACGTGTCTGTCAGCATCTCACCAGGAGAAAAGGTGAGATTTCCACGTTTCCACAAAATGTCGATCCAAAATTTGGTCCTTGTGTCACTTCATTGAGTGATGTGTCAAATCGTTGTTCGCTAAGCGGTAGCATGCTGTAGCGGAAAGGGGTGTACAGAAGTGGGAGTAAGCTGAAGTGGAGAGGGTCAATGTCATGTCAATATTGGGTATATAGACTTTTCATATAACATTACTAATGCACCATGGTGGATTGAGTTGTACGTCTGTTAAGCTTGCCACACATTACAAGGATGTATAGCTAGAGCCTGAGGCATCATTAAAAGTTCTGAAGTCTTTAATATGTATTTCCACCATGAATCGATGGATTTAAATTCTTTCGTCTTTTGCCCACATTGGATGGCGTTAAAGAGCTTGGTCTACCCAGTGTCAACTGCTACAAGTTCTTGCCTATTATTCACTCCACAATTTCTTGCACTACACCAGATCGGTATTGTCGGCCGTACCGGGGCGGGAAAGACATCCCTGATCATGTCCCTGTTCCGATTGGTGGAGTCTGACGGTACGACGGTGATTGATGGTCACGTGACAACAGAAGTCGGACTGAAGGACCTGCGCAGCCGCATGACAGTCATTCCACAGGTCAGCGGGAACTTTTCTAATGTTTAAAGCCAACACACTTCGTTTGGGCGACATCGCAGAGGCGAGCTTAATAGTATATGTATTATGTCTCGTTGCATCTCTTGTAGACATTGACAGATCCTTGTGATTTTTTGTATTTAGGTAGCTGTTGGGTCGTAATTGCCATAATAAGATGTATATTATGATCTGGATCTGATTTGCATTACTAATCATAAATGAGGAAACTGTACTGTAATACTAATATTATATTAACAGTTTTTATTGCTACAGCCTTGTTTTGATAATGTTCTCTGGCAATTTAATTTTAAAACACAATTGATTAATTCGGAATGGAAACCTTTGAACGTAGAAGAAAATCACTTCCTAGGTTACAAATTAACAGAAGAATAATTTCAGCCCCTATTGTATTTCCTCACGTGTACATTTTGTAGGATCCTGTACTTTTTAAGAGCAGCCTTAGACAGAATTTGGACCCTTTCTCCGAACACTCGGACACAGAGTTGTGGGCAGCACTGGAGGAGGTAAGTAATATTTCAGTATACAAAATAAATGGATTCTTCATAGCGCATGCTAGCACAGGTTTATAATTTACAACACCACTCCCGACTACAACAAACAATATTGTGCTTCTCTTTGCTGTGTATTCGTCAGGAGGATAAGTCAAATGCCCCACATGTTATACATTGTAGCAGGAAGTGCATTCAGTTTCCTAGCTGTTTTGATTCCTGCAGCATGTATTGACATACCTTTTTCAGGTTCAGCTGAAACAAGTAGTGGAGAAACTGCCCGAGGGACTGGACACGGGGCTTGTCGAATTTGGTGCTAACTTTAGTCTGGGCCAGCGACAACTCCTCTGTCTGGGAAGGGCTATCCTGAAGAAGAGTCGCATTGTCGTGTTGGACGAGGCCACTGCTAACGTGGACCCACAGTGAGTTTGTACATGCATGCCAGTAACACGTGTACGAATAGGCTTTTGTTGGATGGTTGGGTCGATATTCATTCATTCGAAAATGTTTCAGTGCATTATGCTGAATTGATTTTCCCTGCTGAATAATATCATAAAAACAGAAAATTGATATACAGAAGGGATTATGTCCCAGAGAAGGTATCCAATCTTTCAGGTCCTCGCTATGTAAAAAAGACTACTGAACAACTGTTGTTGTCAGTGTTGTCGAACGTTTTTACTGCTTGCAGGACAGATGGGCTGATCCTGAGAATGATTGAGGAGAAGTTTGCAGACTGCACGGTTCTGACCATCGCCCACAGGCTCCACTCAATCATCGACTGTGACAAAGTCATGGTAGGTTAAATTTCCTCGGATACATCACACTAAAGCCTGGCATTGCATTGCACTGGGACGACATCTCCCTAAAAATCAAACCTTCTCCCTAAATTCAATCTCTTAACAATAACAGCTGTCTACTTAGGCTTTCGTTCAATGGTTTAAAAATTATTACTTGGTATAACTAAGTGGTATTACTTGGTCAATTTTTCACTTTAGACTGACATTTCATTGCTTTCTAATGGGCTTTATATTTTATCAAAATCAACCATATACATGGTCGGTATTAAAATAACAATACCCTTCCCAACACCGATGTTATGGCTTTGAAATTATCATATCATACCAATTTGTACTTGAATCTGAAAATTTCTTTCCCACAGGTTCTACAGGATGGCGGAATTGTTGAGTTTGACGAGCCGTCCGTGCTACTTTGTCAAGAAGGCAGCGTCTTCAGAAGCATGGTGGGAGACTCGGGCCGCTTTAACAACACAATGACGCCTGTTGGGGATTGATGAATTTGTAGTTTTAAAAGTAAAGTAAGGCCACACCATTTCATCCATTGTTTTTTCATGAAATAGCATTTTAAAAATTCACTATTATCCGTTACATTTAAAAATGCACTATTATCCCTTACATTTAAAAATGGTGGCGTTTGATAATTTTTAGTGTCGTACGTTTTGGATGTCAGAGGTACAGCTCTTACAGTAACCCAGCATTAGCCGGCGTTCCACGTGTCGAAATACTAAAGAAGTATGGAAGGCACCACTTCTATATTACAGTTTCACGTTAAGATATTTCAACTTGATACGGTTTTGAGGGACAAAATGTATTTAGGTCGCGACACGTTTAAAAGAATGCTAATGGGTATATTCTCTGTCATCTATGAAATATGTTTGAGTGTTACTATATGATGTTTGGGTTGTAAGGGAAACACTCGGTCTTGAGATTAAATTATATGAACTGTATGCATGTAAATCCATATGCTAAGCTTCTGATCTTTTTAAAAGCACTTGTTTCGCAGGACATAAATTGAAAACAAACTCCCATCTCCGTAATGATCACAGTCGACGTTATGAAAGGCATATGAACCTTTATTCATCAACAAGTATTATGTACAGGTTGCATATGTCTTACAAAATACAAGTAAACCGTTGAAAACTACGTTATTGATATATATGCCTTGATAACAGTTGTAATTGAATGCATGTGTTTCTTTTTCACAAAAACACAAACATAAGATTTCATGCATTTTAGAAAACAACAACTAAACGACTCTTAGGCCAAATCCTTGTTCTACGCACACTAATTATCAATAATGTGGGAAATATCTTTTTGATAACATACCTAAGAAATGTAAACATCATGATCAAGCATGCAAACTTAAGGCACTTCAACATCTAAGTGTACTTTAATCAACACAAATATACTTTATATGAAGTTTGCAAAGGACCTGTCAACATAGATATCATATTTACATTATTTACATATCATTGATATATTACTAAAACAGAAAAGGCGTTGGAGTGCCTCCCACAAAAACATATTTTGAAAAAAAAACGATTTATTTGCGCTGATTGTACCACCATGTCTAGTTAGGGCGCGAATACAGAGCGATAGGAAGAGTCAGGAACAGACAGCTGAAGTACAGCACAAAGCACAGCCTGTCCAGCACGCGAGACAGCAGCATCCACTCGCTCTCCTCCCCGCTGTCGCTGCTGTTCCCCTCCTCGTTCTTACCCAGCCACATGTTCAGCTTGTGCAGGGTGTTCTGTGTGGCCGACAGGGTGTTCTGGATCCGCCACATCACGGTGTTGGTGCTCACCAGGATCTTCATCAGGTTCTGGCGCCTGCGCGGCTCCTCCTCCGGGTTGAACCTGTCCACAGAAAAGGACGGCATCCGCTCCGGAGTGGAAGCGGTTGAAGCGATGGTCGCTTCGATGTTGTTGACTGTTGGAGGTTCCTCAGCATTTTTCCTGGTTTGCAGAGAGTCAACAAATATAAACACCAACATATAGTACATAAAAAGTAACTCATATCTCCTATACAGTGATGGCAAATCAGAGAAGTTAATGAGCATTAGTAGAGCACAACATCGACAACAAGCTTCCATCAATCAACTTTGAAAGTGAAAAGAGTCGATAACAAAGGTTTTCACACTATACATTACATCACAATTGCTAACAAGCCAACCTTTGCCCAGACCTAGTTCGTTAAAGGAGAAAGATACATCGACCAAGATGAACTAAAGCAAGTTCTAACAGAGAATCATTTCCCACTCCTTCCCCTGCGGTTATCAAACTACACGAAGTTGCATTTCAAGTTGCTGACCTGCGCTTTTTGCTTAGATCCCCCAGACGCATGGCGATTGCGCAGTGCTTCAGGAACACGGTCCTGGCCCAGGCAGGCAGCGCCCCCTCCCGACCGGAGAGGGAAATAACCACAGCTGTGGCTAACATGAACACTCCCATCAGGATGATGGCTGTGATGGTCAAAACTCCTGGAGAAGAAGAAGTGAAGATATCTACGTCATCTCATACTGTCGTTATTTACCCCAATTTGACGTCCAATTATCTTAATAAAATACTCGCTTGACAGTCGTGTACCCTAACGTAGAGGACTAAGGAACAACACAAGACGTTCAGAAAACTTGATTAACGATTTTTCACCCGAACATCTCTTTGTGAAGTAACATACCTGAATTAACTAGAAAAGTAACATTTGCAAAGCAAATGCATAATGTTTACCTTCGCATGTCGGTCTGCTCTGTTCATTCTTAGTCAAACACATTCACATATATGGTGACAAGAAGTCTAAATTCCTCCTACTATAAAATTGCAACATTATGTAACCCGACACCAGTTACCATGGTGAGAGACTGACTGGTTCAGTCAGGCACTCAGAGGTCATTGTTTGGAGAAGAAGAAGAAGAAGAAACGTAGCAAAAACAGCATGTTTTCCTTTGGTAAACATAATTACTGTGAACTAGACATCAGGAGAAATAACATCAGGTTCAAAACTTACCCAGTAGCGGGAAGATGGAGCCTTTCGGCAGGAAGTCGTTGATGACGACCAGGGACACGAACATGGAGAGCAGGATGCTCATGCCGTAGGACAGCCGGTCCCCCTTGTCGATGGGGATACAGAACGTGATCCCCATCAGCAGCACGAGGACAATGGACGGGGACACCGTGGTGCACATGTGGTACAGGGAGTTCCGTTGGAGCCGTAGTTCCAGGCATGCCTAGAGCAAGAAAGGTTGTTGTTGCATTTTTAGCGAACAGTAAGTGAACACCTACATGTAGATCTCAGTACCCTCATAGCGACAGTTGCCACAATTCATCTACACACTCTTATTGAATTAGAGTAAATTAAACATAGTACGGATAAAATAAATTGGTCAATAGTAACTGATTTTACAGTTCCTTCTATCCCCATAGAGAAAGCCTGGGATATGTGAAATTTGATGACTACTGTCTCGCCTCCATCATGCTGTAAGAATCTTCCGAGGGCATGACTTCTCACAGTGCTGTAGTAGGTTCATTAGGGTATAAGGCAAGCAGCACTCATACCGTTTTGTTTTCGACACGCAAGTTGTAGACGACATCCCATTCGCCCCGTTTGAGCTGTTTGTGTTGATGGCACGTGATGACGTCACCGCCGATCTCGTCCACCCCGGCGCAGACGAAGATCTCGTCCGACCGGAAGTCTCCCCGGATGCACACGTGGCACGTCATGTTGTCGAACGGGAAGAGGAAGTGGTCCAGGATACAGGTGGTGACGAGGATGGTCTCTATGATGTGTGACAATGATAAGGCAAAGGTTTTGATGCATGATTGTACATATTAGTGAAAGCATTGATTCTGCTGTTTCTTACCTCCTAATTATGTATGTACGTGTGTGTGTGTGTGTGTGTGTGTGTGTGTGTGTGTGTGTGTGTGTGTGTGTGTGTGTGTGTGTGTGTTCGCATATTATTTTAAGTGTGATCATCATAGCTTAAGGTGTCCTCCCTGGCTAATTTGGCATTTTAGCTTTCCATCATTTTCTCACAAAGAAATTTAGAAAGAACTGTACTTGTACTGAATATTGATACCTGGGTACAAAAGGGTTATGAATGTGATTTTATGGACCATATGGATGACGTCATCATATTTTATTGCCCTAAATGTAATTATCTTTAAAGTTATAATACAGCACTTTGGTACAAGTAACTGAAGTAAAAGTATGATTTTCATGTGCATAATGGTCAAAGCTACAAACCTACGTTTGCACAAATTGATATCTACTAATTATCCGTAGTTATTAGAGAATAACCTAATTGCCTAATTAAAATCTAGTTTTTCTCTAATAACTACGGATAATTAGTAGATATCAATTTGTGCAAACGTACGTTTGTAGCTTTCACCATTATGCACATGAAAATTATATTTTTATTTCAGTTACTTGTACCAAAGTGCTATATTATAACTTTAAAGATAATTACATTTGGGGCAATAAAATGTGATGACGTCATCCATATGGTCCATAAAACCACATTCATAACCCTTTTGTACCCAGGTATCAATATTCAGTACAACTACAGTTCTTTCTAAATTTTTTTGTGAGAAAACGATGGAACGCTAAAATGCCAAATTAGCCAGGGAGGACACCTTAAAAAGGGTTTTATAAATTGTGAAATTGTGATGATATTTGGTATGTTTGTAGGTCTTGGGTAGACGAAGGTTAGGCTTCCAGGCGTCTTTCCTTGGTACTGCAGTACACTTTTCGGTTTTTGCCCTCAGCTATAAATTTCCTCAGTTAGCTGTATATCTTTTTTACACCAAAAGGCAGCGCATACAAAAAGTTGACCTTAGTTTGATCAGTGAAGTGAACATGACTAGTTGTCCTTGTTCCTAAGTCATCTCTTTCAAAGTGTCTTTAATACATCCTACCCATGGTCCAGGTCACCTCGCCTGTGTGAGCCATCTCAAGGTCGTCCTTGGGAAATCCCGTAAATTCCTTATCAGCGCTGAAACGTTTATAAGGTTACTGGTCAGACGACGATGTTGCCTGGAATTTCCATTTATGATGCATGTATTCTCATAGCATATCAAAATGAGAATGATACGTTATCAGTTACGATGGAGAAAACTGAATTACAAAATCCCACACAAAAAATTAAACTGACATGCGAAAGTATAGTACACGTATCAAATATGTTTCCGTCTATGCTCGTGTATGTATATACATATCAGCATGCTATCATACAGTGATGCATTCCATGGTGTTGGTCTACTATAGGTATGGCAGGTGGTTACCTTCCGCGTAGCTTAATTTTTGGTTTCCAGATTTTGTCATGTTCCACAAAAACCTTTGTGAGATCGTACAGGGAGTTTACCCATTTCAGCCGGATGTCAGACCATTTCTGTTCACAAAACAAATGAAATCATAAAGGAAGTCACAGAAACAATGAAATATGCGAAAAACTATTCAGACATGAATTGCTGAATTTTGCTTCCAAATTCAATTTTAAGTTATCAAAACAATGCATGGAGAACCCCGGTCGATTATTATTTGTTTTATATAGCTATAACATAACATAACATAACATAACATATCACCTCTAATATGACAACATTACATTGTAGAAAATCACAAATGTTATTTTCTTAATCATTTACAGCATTTTCAAACAATGGTCAACAATCGCATACAAATACTGTATGACAAAATGTATGACTACCCTCACCAGATCTATGCGGGTTGCTGTTGTGATAGACTCTCCTGGCTCATCCTGTGAAAGCATTAAATGAGTTACAGTACGATATCATTTCGTCCACGTCATTTTGTTCAAATACTATATGTTTAGCCGTGCCTCTCAAATGATCAATTCCGTTAACTTATTATGCAGATAAACATTGAACTTTAAAAGGGTACAAAGACTTCAACACGCTAAAAATCATCGCCAAATGGTAAATGGGAAACAGGGAAATGGACAAATCATACGAATGATCTATGGCTGTATGCAGGTTAAGTTTAGAAACGTTGGTCCTTGGAAGTTGTACTACTACTGATCCCACGACACAAAATTAGAATTCGGTAGAGGATAAACTCACCAGGTCAATGATGTCATCAATGCTGGCGGCCACGGTGATGTTCAGTCCGTTCCCGCCAGGTGGCGGCAGGTTCGGACTTATTGAGCCTTTCTCAAACTTATCAACCAACAGCCTTGTCCTCGGATCCTCTGACATGTACAAAATTGAAAAAAAACATATATCACTGTCAAATATGCCTGAATGACATGAAAGCTTGTGACTGAAAGATTAAGCTATTACGAAGTCGCCCATTTGGGGCATTTTGTAAAAAAAAATAGAAGCTTATTACCTATGCATGTGGGTAAGTCCAGTTCCCACTCTGCCTCGTGGCTACATTTGATCTCAGGAGCTCCACGCAGGCTGTACCCTCCCTCACAGCTGTACGTCACCTTCTCTCCGGGCCAGTAGAAGGTTCGGACAGGCTCGCGAAGCACGCGTCGCTGAGCACCACGGTCCTGGCAGACTTGGTCTACGGATAGTACATGAGAACGAATGTAGTACAACAAGCGCATGGCTGTTAGAAAATGCACGATAAGGAAAGTTTGGATCAACTGATGACCAGTGTATACTTCTTGATGCATTCAACAACAATTACGGCTCTCCTTTTTTTAGAGAAATTAAGTTCGTTAAAAAGACACACACACACACACACACACACACACATACATACACAGAAGATTTAGAAAAACAATATGTTAGGTGTAGCTATATATCATCAAATCTTATCTTACTGTCACAAGGAGGTATATCACAATACTCCCATCTGCCTGTGGCATCTACACTACACCAGGGCCTCTCGGCGCCATCAGGGTTGCGGCAGTAGTTCTGCTCCAGGTTGGCCCATGAGTAGGCCCCCACCTCATACGCTCGCGTGTTCCACGGCAGGCAGAGACGCCCGGTGACTGTTACGTCCACAGTTCCTCTGTAGTTCAGTCCCTTTCCTCGGTAGCAGTCTAATGATATATAACATCAAGATACATGAAATATCAATTTTAGAAATCACTCTTGCTAACTTAAACTACAGTTTCCTGAATATCTGTATTAACCATGCACTTAGCCTAGATTATAATTTTGTTGAATTCATATAAGGGCAGTAAGAAGGAAACTGTACATCTATGGTAATGTCTATGTTTACATGTGTGTTTTCGTACCTAAGGCCATGTTGATTTGATTATATGGATGACATCCGCGCGCGCATGAATTTTCGGCCGTTTAAAAAAAAAGTTTTCAACCATACTGTAAATCGTACATAACAGTTGCAAAATGAGGAAATATATACCGTAGGTTGAAAAAAAAATATTGCAAAACGATACCAATGTCGTAGAATGCCAAAATCAAACAAAAAACATGAAATGTAAAGAAATAAATTTGAAGACTAGATAATTTGCCACACTATACTGTTCAACCTTCAAAACCACCATAATGAAGGAAACTTTTTTTTTGGTCAAACTTTTTTTTATTCGCACGCTCGCATCAGTTTTGGGGTTCCCAGAGGATGTCATCCATATAATCAAATCAACATGGCCTAACTCCAGACCTGGTGATATTGGCCCAGGGTAACAGTGCTGGGAGGGAAATGTTGAACACTCTGGCAGAACGGCTGTCCAGTCCAGCTCCTGCTCACACGTCAGCTTCAGTTCCTCACACCAAGACCGGCAGGGGGCGTACTTGCTTCCGGAACATGGGCTGACTACCATGTAGCACAGGAACTCACCGATCTGCAATTACAATTAAAAAAGTGTAAAAGAAAATCTAAACAAAATGCAAAGATAAGTAGGGATGGCACTGTTGTCTTCTATGCCATGTTTAATTCGTGAATTGTTGTCTAATCTTTCCTGTATTTGTTACATATTCAAGTCATAGTATAATCGACCTGCATCGTGAATGTGCAATAAGGTCTTTCATTCATTCATTCTAAGGTTTGAAATAAACTTTGTATTAGGTGCTGCCACCAGATAGGTGCTTGTGGATTTTACATTGTTGCTCTCTACATTTGAAATGCAATTTCCAGTACAGCAGGGTCGTAATGAGTGTGGTTAATCCACATTACTTCCGATCCTTTGCTAAGCTGAACGAGAGTCATGATAAAACTGACAGTACCTGCTCATGACATTGTTTATTTGAGAGTGTCCTGGTTGTGTTGTATTCTTCTGAGTTGACAATAGCGTCAAAGTCCAGGTGACGGTGATGATTTGGGAAGGTGGTGTAGGCAGAGGCGGGACATGTCTCCTTGATATTGTCAGGAACTGCTTGGCAACCTGAAGTAAAGATAACAAACACGGCATCCAAATATTTTCAAAAATCAGTATTTGTATCTGTACAGCCGGTCTAACCGTCCTTCGGAGTAACACACCAACTAATATGGCATATGTATCAACTTACATTAGTTGCCAGTGGAATTGTTTGAAATACAGAGAATGTACAACATACTTTTACAAAGCTAACAAAATTCTGCACAGAACAATGAGAAAATATGGCTGATACGCCTACACCCCTCCCACATTTTGACCAATCACCTTTGACTCCCATATCACATGACTACTATTCAGAAGAATAAAGAATATGACAGATGTGGTTCAAAACCTTCTCAGGCTGAACCTTTTAGATGCGAGTTCTAGTTTAACCTTTGATTTAAAAAAATGATAATTAAGACGAGGTTACTAACTGCAGACTTCAGCATCCTTGCCATCCCAGCATAGAACATCACCATTACACAGTAGGTCAAATGGAACACAAGTGTGACCATCATCGCACACGAAATGGTCTCCAGTGCACTCAGTGGGCTCTAAAATGATACGTAAAGTTGTCATGTATTAGTATCAACATACTAGTGGTATTACGAAGTTTTTAAAGCACTAAAGCATCATTTTATTGACATTGCATCTCATACTATATAGCTAGATCCGGACTGCTTGCTCTAGAAGTGCTAGACCCAGTGCTACAATAGCTACATGCATTTCTTAGCCAAAGGCAAATCATGCGACGACATGATCATGAGTTTTACAATTTGAAACTATTTATATTTTGAATGGAAGCAAACATCCATGGCATTCATGTGTTGGCCCAATGAACAATGACGATGCTTGAATGAGACCTTTGTCGTAGGCGGTGTATTCAGCCTCAAATGTGTCAGATGGATTCCGCATCGCCCCATCGAACACCACGGTCATCCGCTGGCTTCTGGACGTGATGTCGGTAACATCATTCCCGCAGTATGTACCTGATGTTAGCAAATATACAACAGTGACGTCAAAGCTACAATTGCCAAGGCGTACATCATTCTATATCTGCATATGACCACTATTCAACACAATGTCTCAATTGCAAAACCGTGATTTAGCCAGCATTCTAGGAACGTGACGTAGGTTCCAAGGATTTTGGATCTGAGAAAATTCTGGAGACGTCTTTGAACTTTCTTTCTCAAAGCGATTATTTTTCTCCCATAACTCCATCATCATTCGCTTACTAAGATCAGACGCCTTCTACAGGAACTCTTTTTTCGACATAGTTACGATTTACTATACATCTAGGTTATCTGTGTTATTTGTACGTCCTTAGAGTTTTGTATCATTTTAAGATGTATTTTATGGGTTCTTTTTTTGCTCGAAATAAAGAAGAAAGAAAGAAAGATTGCAACCGGCGTATTCATCATCCTTTGATATATTATACTTACACAATTGCCAATTCATGCCCTATATGGGCCAAATGCACTAGGTTAGATAAATGAGGTATTCGGAAATTCAAGCGTTTGTCCTAGCCTCCTTCGCATACTTGTAGGGAGCGGCGTCATTTTTTTTCGGTGAGCGGCGCGAGTTATGCCGCGGAGGGACGATTTTGCCGCCGAGGGACTTTTGCCGGGGAGAGACGGTGTCGATGCCCAACTTTCGGTGAGCGACGTTGGGCAGCGAAAACGTCTCTCCTCGGCAAAAGTCCCTCGAACTGCGGCAGAATCGTCCCTCCGCGGTATAACTCGCGCCGCTCACCGACAAAAAATAATGCCGCGCCCTACAAGTATGCGAAGGAGGCTATGTTTGTCCGTTGTTTTCTCGATACAGCTGTACTTACCAATGATGTCAAATTTGCCGTCAGGCCAGGACCCATCCATGACGTGTACCCGACCTCCCTGGCAGAACCCGGACTCGCCAGGACTCAGGTCAAACCGGCCGAAATGCAGATTCACGCGATGACTGGCAGTGACCTGTTTAGAGAAAGAGAGAAAGAAAGTACATCAACTAGTAGCTGCTACTCAGTGTACAGCATCATGGTTGGTGTGGGTGATGTGTGTAGTAAGAATAGATGTTGTCACTAGAAGTCATACTAAGTAACGGTCATCAAATTATAGATATTGGAGTGCTTCAAACAAAAAAGTGCACGTGCTAGTTGGTAAAGTCCATTTTATTGCCGAATATATCATTTAAACACATGCAAAATCTACTATGCGTTTACTATCATTGTAAATGTTTACTTAATCAGCTATACGATGTGAGGAAACGTTTAGAATTACCTCGATGTTCCACCGGCAGTGGTCCCTAAAGCCTACTTGCTTGTGATTAAACGTCCCCGCTTGTCCCAATATGTTCTCTTCACATGTTGGGCCGGCCTGTGCTCCCTTCACTGTAAGTTATCGTCTTAATTAATAACGCTGTTATTGGGCCCTCAGAATTCGCAAACACACACAAGTAAAACCTATTATATGGGGGGAAATGACTACATAAATTCTAGCAATATGGAAGTAGGGTTTTCCTTACAGCGAGACGAAATAATAGATGTTTACCAATCTTAATTACATGTGGTGACGTCGCTAAAACTAAGGTTCAAAGGCCTCGGTCTTTCTTCTTTTTCTTTGCAGTGAGGTAATGTTTTGCCCTTGCATTTCTAGTGACATGAGTAAAAAATCAATATTGAAGTCACTATTTCTTTGCTTACATATATTACAAATAGATATTAAATTCTTGGTCCCAAAGAACAACCACATTAACTACAATTCCGCAGCTAAGTGCCATCATCAAATAAAATCCAATAACTTACTATTGCAGTCGGGAAGACCGCAGTATTGTGGAACCAGTTGGTCTGTTTTGCTATTATGTACAAAACATAACGGTTTGTCCGGCTGGCTGAACACCGTGGCGCGCGGGCTCGTCAGAAGCCTGCAGTAGTTCCCCTCCAGGTTGTACTCCGTCATGGGGTCACCATTGGCAATGTCACGGACGGACTCCGACAGCAGTGGTACCTATCAAACGTTCAAATGATTCATGAAAAAAAGTTGCAAAATACGGTCGTGATATAGTCTTTAAAAATACTAATTTGAATATTACAGATTATTGCAGTGCTATTTATACGTTAAATGTAAAATTCCCAGCCGTGGAATATGAATTTCGAATATTCTTTAGATCAAGAAACTAATTTTCACTCTAAAATGTTGGGGTGTCATGCTATAAACACTGACATGAAGGCGTTTTAAAAACAGTGTACATACCTTGTCCTTCACGGTTTCCCAGCTCGCGCACATCTCTCCCCTCTCTGTGATCTCGGCCGTTCCACTGTAGTCGTGGCCATGTCCGTAAAAGCAATCTGGTGTTCATGGAAACAGAGGGGCATATATTTTCATTACCATGACAGAAGTATACTTCATTGACATGATTATTGATGGTCTTCTTACTTTTAAAATGTTAATAAGATATAACAGCTTCTGTTGATGCGATGGATTAAAATGATTCTTTATCTGAAGACATAAACTCACCTGTCATCTCCACTTGACAAATGAAACTGGCTAAAGTCTCGCATGGAGAGGCAGACCACGTAGCTGACCACCTGGACTGCACGGTTGTGTTAAGTTTGGTCGCGTCGACATAGTTGGCGCAGCCCTTGATGGCTGTGTCCGAGACTATCCAGCTGCTGAAGACGCCGAGGATCGCTCCGTCTGCCCACATCCATGCACCGCCCTCATCAGGCTCCGACAGTCCAAACCTGAAACAAACGAACAATTATTAACGTTTTGTCCAGGCACCCAGCGCAAACATTAGCTTACATGGAAACATGGCATCTTATTACCCAGTAGTTTCCTCTTCATTGATATCTTGGCAACTTGACAGTGGTGAGTCACAGTCGCAATAAAGAAAAAGACTTTTTGCATTACATTAAAACTTTACATAACTTATGTACTGATGTGTCATTCAAAAAGGAGAAATTAATACAAGATTGAAACATCATATTTTAACATTCGTTTTGTTTATATTGTGTTTATCTTACCTGTAGACTTCATCCGGCTGCGCTGCAGTGTCGGTGATGAGGTTGATGAGGAACTGGTTGATGTCGGCAGATTTAGGCATGGCCAGCGTGCCCCCGTCTCGGCTACACGTCTGGAGGGAATCTGCGTATGTCTTCCTCTCGTCAAACACCTTGTACCACACGCCTTGGAACTGGCTGTAACCCAGGGCGGCCTCTGGAAATGTACAAAATAGATCATAAAATTTTAATATTCTCTTACAAATTTGCAGTGTTTTACACACTTTGTACTATATAATCATATTTTGACCACTGTTTTACAGAAATGACACATCTAAAAAATAAACTCGACATAGTGTCAATTTGTTCCTTTATCTGTACCCCTCTTCTTGTATACTAGAGCATCTGTCACATGCTCGCGTATCATTGGGTACATATTAAACACATCCAATACCTATATATATAAACCTGTAAGTACCTTTGCTCAGAGTTCTTTCCGTGTGATAGCAGTCCGTGTTGGACAGACCATCACAGTGTTCAGCCAGAAACATGGCCTTCGCTTCTGTATTCATAGAGATGCAATTTTGGCTGGTGTCCACAATCTCCCGACACCACGACCAGCACATCTCCCTCAACGTAGCAGAAGGCTGTACATTTCTGTGGAGTGAGACAAACGTATTAGCAAGCAGCCTTAACAAAGAAGGTCTCAAACATAAATGTCAGCTCCATGACTATAAATGTTTTGCACATTTGTCTTTCTCTTATTGAGACTTGGCAACACTCAAGGATCCTGTAACTTGGGGCACCCTGAAGCGAAAAATTGCACTATAGATTTGACACTTACCTGACATCAATGCACATCGGGGCCAGAAGGTAACACGCAAATGCCAGTCCGTCAGGATGGCACGTGGCGTTGCGGTCATTGCTGAGAGAAAGGGTTGCTCTGTACTCATCTGAGGCGATGACCTCGTCCATCGTAGCATGGCCGTACGCGTTTGGCAAAAAGATGCGGGAGTACTGATTCACGGACTTACAGAACTGCAGCTGGGTGGGGACCTCAAGGCAGTCTGTAGTACGATAGATATACTTAGTAAGCAATAATGAGGTCCGTGATTTGGCTCGTATAGGTTAGTCGTAAAGAGTGGCGACAGCATTTTGTAAATTTGAATGAGAATGAGTGTATAGCTAGTATCATTATGGATTACTAGAACTGAAAAAGATGCTCAAACAGTACATGTTGAACGTAATACTTCTCCTCGTTCAACGACTACTAAGGTCCGCCAATTGGTTGTTGCTCTGTGAGACTTTTACACTGAACGGATAAAGACGCTCAAACACATTTCATATTAGACTAAGTTGTAATTACACGAACCTAGCCGATTCTCGATAACAATTAAGAAAACTTCGTTTTTATTTCTTTAATGAATGTTTAGTATCATTCGTATCTTTCCAAAATTTGCCAAGAAACATTTTCAAGAACTACTTACCTCTACAAGCTCCAGCTGTTAACACTACGTCATCAAGGGCGATGTCACCATATTCACTACTCCCTCGAGTACCCTCAAACATGATCTGTGGTGGGATTTAAGCGTAAGTGACTGTTCAACTATTTTGTACACCACATTTTTAACAATTTACATAGCCCTTCAACTTACATACATAGGCCTGGGATCAGTACATTTTGAGACAAAAAAAAGAAATTTTTACGTTTTGAAACTGGAGTATTGAAACAGCAGTTTTAAAATAGCAGTAAAGTGAAGATTTATTATCTACTAGTATCACACTTGGGTAAATTCTGGATAGTTCACCGTAATCTATGTCTGTACCTGTAGCGGATCAGTGGTGTGTATGGTGAGCGCCTTGGACAGCCACGAATCGCCTTGATCCCCAGACTCCTGCCAGACTTGCCTCGGGACTGTCCCCTGCTGCTTTGTGAGAACCCGCAGTGTTCCCGTCCCGGAGCCGTACATGTGGTAGCGCCACGACAGACAGCTCTTTTGACGGGCTCCATCCGGGTACACCACCCCTGACTCCAGGCTCGCCACGTCGTTCTGTACTGCATCCGATGCCTCAATATGGATGTACGATCCTAAGACATACGAAACACACCTTATTACGAAAATTCTTAATTCGACTACAACATATATTCCATTTTGTGTTATTCCAAAACATATATTTCATTTATTCATTCAAAAATTAAATTTATTCATTTATTAAAGTTTCATTTACAGAATAATCTGAGAGAAGCCGGTGCATTCCATTACATTGCATTCCATGTATCATGGTTTGGAATGGAACACATTTTGTCATGCAACAACAGTCAAGGGAATGCAAAATACAATTACATTACATTTCAAATAGTGAACTTGTAGTACTCTATCCTTACCGAATCCGGTGGTGCTGTCTGCTGCAGGCCCAGTGGATGAGGAATCGGTGGGACCTGCTGTTTGCTGCCAGTTAATGTTGTTGTTCGTGGTAACTTGTGTGTACTGACAGATGTTGATGTCAAAGTCACAGTCAGCCGGGGAGCCATCTGAAAAATACAGTTGTATTAGGTTTAGCGGAGTCAACTTGGAACTTGAGAATGACACCAACAGCTACCGTAGCTACCGTATATCAAATTCTGTCAAACACATTACACTATAAAGAAAACTTCGGGACTCATGATGGTGTTTTTATTGATTTATATTCACAGTATAGCATAGTACAACACAAGGTGGTAGCGTGGTAGTGGTATCTAAGGCTTATTTTAACGCTACCACTTACGCATGTAATGAGAGGATGCATTAACAAAAGTGAATCCAATATAAAGGAAATACAGATGATACTACATATGTAACACAAAGTAATAATAAAACAAACGTTAAGATGTTGGAAGCACAATGATAATGATGTTGAAAAGAGAAGTGAAAAAAATACACAGAAAAGGCACCGAAGAATTGCATTAACCTATGTCTTTATAGACTTCCTTTGCTCCAACCCCGCCCTCCCCGTCCACCTGACAGACAGATGACCGTCCGTAGGTCTGGTACGTCAGGTGTGCGACGTCGGAGGAGCCGCAGAGGCCGCCATCTTGGAGTCCGAACACGCGGTAACCGTTCCGCCGAGCAGCCTGGTAGCACTTCTCCACCGCGTCTGCGCGGGTTTTGTAGTCGTCCAGGAGGACGCCATCATGTCCCTCCAGGGATAGTATGGCCAGTCCATCCGGGTCCCTCCAGCACCCAAGTGTTCTGTAGGGAGCCGGATCTTAAAAACAGAATATTATCAGTGATGATCAGTGATGCAATTATATTTATATAAGAAGTCAACTGCCCGAGTTAAACTTCAAGCGAAGGGAGTAAATGGTTTACAATCCACTTGCTCAAAGTTGCTGTTAGCATATGGATTGTACGGGCCCTGATTGGTCAGTTCTAGAAAGTTCAAAAGGCCCGCGCACTCCAAATAAGAATCCCCGCGCACTGAACAAGGTACAAGGTTGTACAAGGCACAAAGTATGGCAACTACTCGTATAAAACTACCGTTCCATGCATTAAGCTAATCTACCTAATACAAGTGTACTTAGTAGTATGAGATGAAAATAAGCTTTCACAATCATAAGGAATTTCTAATATCTAGACATTCTTTGATATGTATGTCATGCAGGGGCCGTCTAATCTCATTAGATCATACGGCAAGGCAGTATCCATTGGCCAGAGAATTGTCCATTAGCCACCGGTTGCTAATGGATACTGCCTTACCACCGTATGATCTGCTTGGAGATTAGGGTCGTCACGTGGATACTGCCTGGCCAATTCGATACTGTCTTTTGCCACCCTAGGATCTGCTTGGAGATTAGTTCAATAGTGTTCCGGCAGAGGTGGTTTCTTACCAGGTGGTCGTTCACACATGTACATCGTCCTGCTGTCACAGTCTTTCCCCTTCAAGCCACTAGCGTCCGTCGCTATACACTGGCCAGAATTGTAGGATGTTACACTACTGAAAGAACAAACACAACAAATAAATCAAGCAAATAATTCTACATACACAGCACTATGATATTGACACGCAATCCAAAGCTCAACGATACCACGAAGACAACTTCCTATCTGCTGTGGAGTAGAAATGTGTTATCTATCAATTAATATAAAAGAAACACTGTCCAGTGTGTATCATCGTCAGATACCGGTATCAAGTTTTATCATATTCCATTCGTCGTGATACCCATTGACTATGCAAATTACATGTATGATGTAATCCCAATACATATTTTTATTGATAAGATCTAGTATTTACTGACCTCTCGTTCATGTTTGTACCGTCGATCCAAACCTGCAAGTCGTCGGCACCAACCCAGATGTCCTGGCCAGCCTGGTTTGTGATCCATTCCTGGGACGGTGACATGAAGAAATCATCTCCCTGGTAGTGTGTTGTCTACCAAATATATTCCTTTACATAAGGCATATTTTCTTGCACATGTACAAGACACCAAGCATAGTGCACTGTTACAGTACTGGTTCTGCGCGGCATTAACAGCTCCAGTTTAATTCCGGACTAATTCCATATCTCAGCAACCTTACATCTAGATGGGCTAATATCGTAAACTGTAAGTAAAAATAATGTAAGAAATTTGTATACGTAGCAGCCATGGAGGACCCCTTGGGGATTAACCCAATTCTGCAGAAATTTTCCAGAATTCTGCAGAATTGGGTTAATCGTCCAGGGGTCCTCCATGGCTGCTACATATTTGTTACGTCGTTTTTACCTAAGGTTTACAATACGATTAGCCCATCTAGATGTAAGGTTGCTGTGATATGGGAATTAGTCCGGAATTAAACTGGAGGTTGCTCAAACCTGTTCCTCAGTGGTTGGTGCTATGGCGAGGTCTCCCTGGAGGGCTTGGCACGTGACCCGAGCTTGTTCCCAGGTTATAGACTCGTGCCCTTGACGGGAGTAGACACCCTCCAGGTCCGCTGAGAGCAGATAGCACGAGTCTTCATAATACCTCCATCCACTGGCGCATATGTCTGCACAAAAAAGTGTGTAAAATGTATATGTATATATCAAAACTTACCATAAACAGAATGCAATAATTAAAACAATATTATGAAATTAAAAGTTTAAGAGAGATCGTAAATGGTGTACCCGTGCAGTATGTCCCGTTTCCTTGGAGACCGTAATTACAGCTGCAGTTAAAGGATCCGTCCGTGTTGTGGCAGGTGGCGCTGCTGTGACAGTTGTGTGTCAGGTTGGCACACTCGTCTGTATCTGTGACAACACCGAACAAATTTGATATATAGATGATTTAAATGTATAATTGCAATAATTAGAATAAACTTCTTTTACAATGAAAAAGACTGTTTATCACATAGAACCGACTCTTACCTGAACAGCTCGTGCCGTTTCCATGGAAACCCAGGTTACAGCTGCAGTTAAAGGATCCGTCCGTGTTGTGGCAGGTGGCGCTGCTGTGACAGTTGTGTGTCAGGTCGGCACATTCGTCTGTATCTAATAGAGCACCCATGGGAATAATGTTTACTTGGTCATATGTAAACATAACAAAAGAAAACAAATAAATAGCACTTGCAAATGATAAACTATCTTAACATTCAAGAAAAAACAGTATTGTTTACTACCTTGACAGAACGTCCCGTTGCCATAGTAACCGTTCACACAGCTACAGTAGAACGACCCGTCAGTGTTCAGGCACGTGGCTTTCACGTGACAGTCATTCCAGGTGCTGTTCAAACATTCGTCGATATCTATGGAATGCAAAATTTCTATGGTTAGAGACTTTTAATCGAATAACTTCTGACAACAAAAGCAATATTTTGACATTAGTAATGTTAGAATATTTTGACCTGAAAAATGTCGTACCTGAACAGAACGTCCCGTTTCCATGGAAACCCAGGTTACAGCTGCAGTTAAAGGATCCGTCCGTGTTGTGGCAGGTGGCGCTGCTGTGACAGTTGTGTGTCAGGTTGGCACATTCGTCTGTATCTGTGACAACACCGAACAAATTTGATATATAGATGATTTAAATGTATAATTGCAATAATTAGAATAAACTTCTTTTACAATGAAAAAGACTGTTTATCACATAGAACCGACTCTTACCTGAACAGCTCGTGCCGTTTCCATGGAAACCCAGGTTACAGCTGCAGTTAAAGGATCCCTCCGTGTTGTGGCAGGTGGCGCTGCTGTGACAGTTGTGTGTCAGGTCGGCACATTCGTCTGTATCTAATAGAGCACCCATGAAAACAATGTTTACTTGGTCATAGGAAAAAAAACAAATAGATGGCACTTGCAAATAATAAACTAGTATTGTTTACTACCTTGACAGAAAGTCCCGTTGCCATAGTAACCGTTCACACAGCTACAGTAGAACGACCCGTCAGTGTTCAGGCACGTGGCTTTCACGTGACAGTCATTCCAGGTGCTGTTCAAACATTCGTCGATATCTATGGAATGCAAAAGATAAATTTCTATGGTTAGAGATTTTTTATTAGAATAACTTCTGACAACAAAAGTAATATTTTGACATTACTAAAAGTTAGAATATTTTGAATTTTGCAAACACCTGAAAAGTGTCGTACCTGAACAGTGCGTGCCGTTTCCATGGAAACCCAGGTTACAGCTGCAGTTAAAGGATCCGTCCGTGTTGTGGCAGGTGGCGCTGCTGTGACAGTTGTGTGTCAGGTCGGCACATTCGTCTGTATCTAAAACATCACCCATGGATACAGTATTTGCAAGTTGGCTTTTTTGTTAGAGAAGAAAACGAAACAAACAAATAGATGGTACCTACAAAAGACAACCTTACAGTTCAAGAAAAAAGACTGTTTACTACCTTGACAGAACGTCCCGTTGCCATAGTAACCGTTCACACAGCTGCAGGAGAACGACCCGTCAGTGTTCAGGCACGTGGCTTTCACGTGACAGTCATTCCAGGTGCTGTTCAAACATTCATCAACGTCTAAAAAAATGGAACGTAAAAAAAATACGGTTAGCATTTTTCTGGTCTTTACTTTTCTAAAGAAACCTAAAAAAATCAAATTTCTATTGACAGAGAAGGAGACAGTAACAGCAATTTGACTTCTTTGATAAAAAAAGCTGACAGTATCTACTATTGAATTATTCATTATTACTTATTCAGGGCAACATTTCTAATTTCTGTGACTGTCATAGCTGAATACAAATTACAAGACCTATGAATTACAAGACACATGGATAATATATTGTCCAGTATTGATAGGCCCAGAAAAAAGAACATTTTTAAAGTGAAAAATATTGAGACTGAGTGCGTGTAAATGGGTGAGGAATTAAGAGATTGTACAAATGTGCTGTACCTGAACAATACGTCCCGTCTCCATGGAAACCCAGGTTACAGCTGCAGTTAAAGGATCCGTCCGTGTTGCGGCAGGTGGCGCTGCTGTGACAGTTGTGTGTCAGGTCGGCACATTCGTCTGTATCTGTATCAACAATTTAGTTTGTTATATGTAAACAAAATAAATAATAACAAGGTAACTTGGAATTTGAATAAAAAAGACTGTTAACAACCTTGACAGAACGTCCCGTTTCCATGGAAACCCAGGTTACAGCTGCAGTTAAAGGATCCGTCCGTGTTGTGGCAGGTGGCGTTGCTGTGACAGTTGTGTGTCAGATTGGCACACTCGTCTGTATCTGTATCAACAATTTAGTTTGTTATATGTAAACAAAATAAATAATAACAAGGTAACTTGGAATTTGAATAAAAAAGACTGTTAACAACCTTGACAGAACGTCCCGTTTCCATGGAAACCCAGGTTACAGCTGCAGTTAAAGGATCCGTCCGTGTTGTGGCAGGTGGCGCTGCTGTGACAGTTGTGTGTCAGGTCGGCACATTCGTCTGTATCTGTTGTAAACAACATGCATGGAAAATACCCCTGTAGACTGTAGATAATGGATTCCACCAGAAATATAAACAGGTGGATTACGCTATCTTTTGATAGACAGGAGGGATTCTAAGTTAATAGAAGATAAAGCCAAGCAGTATATGTTTATTCAGGCAATCCTTTCGGCCTTCCATGGTTCATTAATATTTTTATTGTCATATCGATATCATACGTCCCATCAAGAATGTCCATTGATGTGCCATGTTGCAATATTGTGAGGCTTTCTTGCAATGATATGACGTATTTTTTTAGAAATGCGTGCTTTGATAAATAAACAGATAGATAGAGTAGCGTAGGCACGACCAGCTATTGCCGGGCAAATATGAGTCATTGTCGTGTCAACCGGTATTTTCGAGTGGCTTCCGCAGGGCTTGAGTTAGGGGTTAGCGTTCTATGTAAGTTCATTAGTTTGCTTAATAGCTTTCACTAATACGAGTGCAGTGTATAGGTTGTCTTCCACATGCACGCATATGCGTGCCAAGTCGATGATGTGTGCAAAAATGTATATAATCATATATCACGTCCTATTTGGACGCCTGCAAGTCATACATTACGTGTATCAGAATGTTATCATCGAATAGAAGTAGCCATACTTAATAATTCAAAACGTCATTTTTTATTTCTTATTTCCTGTGTTTTCGCGATCGGCAAGAGTGATTCATCTGTATGCATTACTACCACACCATGACATTGATAACATCTTCTCAGAAATAGATGGTACTTGATGGGAAAGTAAATGGCAACGATAGTAGTTGTTTTTACCTCCATGAAAAATGGAGGTATTGTTTGTGTGTGTGTGTGTGTCTGTGTGCGTGTGTGTGTGTGTGTGTGTGTGTGTGTGTGTGTGTGTGTGTGTGTGTGTGTGTGTGTGTTTGTGTTTCCGCACATTTGTAGTCAGCATAACTTCAGAACGCCATTATGGATTGTGATGATATTTGGTAAGAAACAATGATGAAAAGGAAATGACGGAGTCAACGTGGCGGCCTACTCAAGCTGTACTTATATTGATGAACTTATATTCTAGCCGCCTAAATTCTAGCCGTTAAAAATGAAATGTTTGGCAAGTCAGTAAAAAACAAAACGCATCAATGCAATGGCTTTGATGAACGTGAGTCCGACCCCCTCCACCCGTGGAAGGAAGTACATGTATAAATAACACGGACAACTAAAAACGTTTTGTTAAAACGACAGTAGTTTACAATGCACTTGACGACAATGGAGAACTATACGAGTACCATATAGTACAAGCTGTGCAGTAAAACGTATATTACGTAGTGCCATTTTGGGGGAAATGATTTGTTTATTTGTTTATTTTTATTTGCACATGCGTAAAAATACAAACGGACGGAGGGAGGGACAACAGACTTCTTCAACATCATCACAGGGGTCCGACAGGGTTGTATCCTCTCCCCCTTCTTGTTCTTGATCACAATTGACTTCGTCTTGAGGAAGACCACTGGAGACGGGAAGGAGGGCATTAGGTGGAGGGAAGAGTCCAGACTTGCGGACTTAGACTTTGCAGATGACCTTGCTCTGTTCTCCGAGAATAACCAAGGCCTACAGCACCTTACCACGAAGCTGGAGACCTCTTCTGGAAAAGTTGGGCTACGGGTGAGTTCTGAGAAGACCAAGGCAATGGAGGTGGGAAACCACACAGGTCAACCTCGACTGAACATCACTGTCAACAACAGCCAGGTAGAGGTCGTGGATCAGTTTACCTACCTTGGGAGTGTCATCAGTAACAGCGGAGAAGTAGAGCCTGACATTAAATGTAGGGTGGGGAAAGCAGCTTCTGTGTTCCGACGGATGAACTCCATCTGGTCAGCAACCACCATCAACCTTGACACCAAGCTCCGACTATACAACAGTATTGTCCTACCCACTGCAATCTACGCTAGAGAAACCTGGAAATGTACAGTTAAAGCATCCAGAAAGCTAGACGCCTTCCACCAGAGAAACCTGAGGAGGATACTGAAGGTGACGTGGCAGGATCACATAACGAACGATGAGATCCTGAACAGGGCCATGTCCAAGCCTCTGAGTACCATCATAACAGAGAAAAGGATGCAGCTGGCAGGACATATCCTCCGTCTGCCCAGCAGAAGGCACTCTAAGACAGCGATGACTTGGGTACCCCACAACGGCAGAAGAAAGAGGGGAAGGCCGAAACACACCTGGCGCAGGACCTTCCAAGACGATCTAAGAAGGGCAAACATCCCCTGGGAGGAGGCGGAGACAGTGGCCGCTGACAAAAAGAAGTGGAAGCTTGCTGCCCGATGTGCCATTGGCACAGGAGGAACTAAGGTCTAAGGTAAGGGTAAAAATACAAAACAATACAGAAAGTAAATATAATAATCGGACGAAACACAATATAGAATAATTAACCTAAACAGAATGTGCTGAAGGAGGAAGAGGCCTTAGGGTTTATTCTTGTCCTCCTCCAAAACAATGGAGGATGATGTATGGTTTTACTTACCAACAGCATTAACGGCCATCAGTCCAAACAGGAGAAGAAATAACGTCTCCATTGCTGACAGTCCCATTTTCATGGAACCTCGCTGTAAAAAAAATATAGACTTTTAGTGATTATCAAGGTAAGGCAATTCTTATGTGGATACCAAGACCTTTGATACTGACAGGGTAGTTTGCCATCATCAACAAAAATATATAAATACACACAGATTAAAGACGTTTAATATCATTAGTGGTTGACTGTTGAGCCATGTACTAAAATGTATTAAAAAGGCACATATTCGCTACATCGTTAGAGACTTAGAGCACGTGTAGCACATTCAACAGTGGGGATTTAGTATGTATAGCCATCGCGTGATTGGACTGTTTGTGTACTCCTGCAACCTTGTATGGACAATAATAACATAATCTCCTTATGAATAGGGAGGTATGATATCAATTCTTGTATTGTGTTTGCCATAATCATTTCATTGCTTTCAATGGAATAGCCAGGCGTGTGGCCTCGGTAAATACCACAGGAAGAGCACCTCCAATTAATTTGTGATACGCGGCAACGCCTTTTGATCCGGCAGGGTGACTAACCACCCTGAGCAGATTCTGTATCGCTATAGCGGTACGGTATGACTCAACCGACCTCAAACGACGTAAACCGAACTCAACCGACCGCTTCCTGGTCTAATATAATGAGTGTACATGGGTAAAGAACCCTTTTTAACACTATAGATACATAGTCTACGTAATTATGAACAGGAAAACCCCTGTAACTCGGAAATACGGGCCAACTTGCCACGGCGGTCTGTCACTACGGCATTCTTTCCCATTGCTAGGCGCGTTCTAAAAAGTATCGGGTTACAAGACGCTATTTTGGCCTGTTTTGGACTACCCGTAAAACACTTGAAAATTAACAAAAAGGATTTGATAGTAAATTTCGTCAAATCAAAATGAAAGTATTGCCTTAACATCCTTTTAATATTAGCTGTTTATGTTAAATCATTGATTTTGCAAACTTTCTCTCCGAAAGACGATTATTTTCGGGTTTCCGACCACAAGTCATGTCATGTTTTTAGGCAAACATCGTTTTAACCTGGCTACGTATATTACCCCAGATCCCCGATTTTTATATTTTTCGACGACTAGGAGTAAGATCAAAAATCGTGTTTTAGGGATTTTTTAATTTCTGATTTTAAGTCTAGTTTTTGTCGACATATTGGTGAAAAAATTGAATTTTTTTACATTTTTCGCAGTAAATTACCCATAATTCAAAATTGAGGCCATTTTTCAAAAATCCCTAAAACACAATTTTCGGGACAACCGTAACGGTCATTTTGAGCCGTGAATGGGGTATGTTTGACTCTCCATGCTTGCAGGTTAAAACGAGTTTTGCAGACATGTCATGTCGACCAAAAGTCTGCAATGTGTTCTTCATACTGGTGTAAAGAATCATTACAGTATTCAAGGTCACCCAAGATACGACAGTAGCTTCGCTACATGTTACATGTCCACAAGAAAATGATAGCGGACATGTAATGTCCAGGAAACTGTTTGTATCTATAGAAAAGTGTTGTTTTTTATCTGTTGCGAGGCACTCAGGCAGAAGGGCTTGTTTTGCCGCTTTATTGTAAATGACCGCAGGTGACCCCGAAATAGAACGCGGGTTCGATTCGAATTGACCAGATCGAACACGATCGAACACAGTTCGGGTTCTATGACATGTGGGAACTTTGCAGCCCAGATTTTACCACCGTGTGCAGTTTTAGTTTGATGTGACTAATTTATAATCTCTAATGGCGTCCTGAGTCCCGGGTGTGAATCCTGCCATGTCACCGATCTTGTGCCCTTGAGAAATGTACTTCAGACGACTTTCCTCACTTAACTCAGGTGGAAATGGGTTCATAGCTTCGTTTAGGGGTGCCAAATTGAACATTTTAAGCCTAAAAAAGTGTATTTTGTACCAGGCCATCTCTTTTAGTCTGCTAACAGTACATAAATGCACCAGTTTTCCCTTCAATGCACATACCATAATATAGGTTCCTAAACTACCACGTGTACCCGACAGTATATGTCTCACTCACCTGAGATGACCATTCGTACCTTGATCTTTACTATATGATGGCCATTGTGCGGCAATGTTAGCCGTAGATAATATGTTCTTATGGACTGTTGAATAAATCATAGTCATTTTTACAGCATGTATCAAGTGGATAGCCAAACGACCATACAGCAACGAAAACAAAGTTTATAAAACTGGAGAAAGGCTCAATATATTTCCAGCTTTACTTCGTAGAGAATATTGATATCACAATATTGTTTTGCACCTGATATATATTATGCATGAGGCGACGCGCATGTTACGGCGCAGTACTGTTAGCTTTACTGAACATTCAATGTTAACAAGATGATTGCCAATCATTTTTATGTCCCTGTTTATAACATCTTCGTCCGTCGGTGGCAGGTACCAAACACAGCACTAGAACAACTGCTAAACTTTTCCGTTTACAATACTGGTAACATTTGATACATACGTATGTGAAGATATGCGTCAGTGTTTGTTAGATTGTTTTGGGTAATCGTACTTTATCAACACAGCGCATTGCATATATTTTGATCGGTGCCTGTTTAGTTGCATATTGATTATTCTTGACAGAATATCATTATATATTCATCAACAGACGTATTAATATTAGATATTCTTTTAATATGTGTTACTTTTTGCTATCCGTATGTTTGATAATACGTGACTTTTCTAATTGCGTTTTCCTGTCTTTTTCTCAATCCTGTGCCTTGTGTACGTCACTATATCATACGAACACAAGTTTCAACGGTCATAAAATATATTGTGTATACAACTCTTCTGCATTTCACGAAACATTCTTGTTACCTCTTATTAGACCTCAGGACATTGCTAAGCGAGTGGCCCGCCCTGTTTTGTAGAATTCAGTAGAAAAATTCTGACTACTTCTATTTGTATGTACATGTACGTTAGTTGTTTGATTTTAATTTACACGAAACTCTTAAAAGGACAGAGAATAAATATATGGATCATACTCATAGTAAAAAAAACACTCGTTAGTTGTTTGTTTTTGAAGAGTTTCATAATATTCACATCAGAAAATAAATGGATCATGGTAAAACAAAACACACATAAATATAAGAGCAGCCGAGCCAATGAAATGAGTAAATAAAAGAAAAAAAAAATACCTTTGCGCTCTGTGCACGTTTTTCCTCGAAGTGGACCGGCGTTATCGGGAAGTACAGTGGAGCGCTACAGGTGTCATCAGTACAGGTGTCATCAGATGTCAAGTCTTCAAAGGTGGGGCTTCTTGGTCTCCATCGCGATGTCGACGTCAGAGCTCTGAGATATACCATTATACTCACGGGGGTGTCAATTGCTTTGACCGGCACTGTTATACATGTAGTACGATGCTTTTCAATGAGTTTTTGAGGAACAAGTGACAGAATTATTCACGAACGCTTTGGGGCAATCATAGAAACCATCCTACAGGGTTCAGCAGAGGGGAACCAGAGAGAGAAATGAGCTGATAATATCCACCACAATATTGAGTCACAGGCCATTGCACATGAGAGGGCTTGATGGAGGGATAACAGCTAAGTAATGAAAAAATTCCTTCCAAAAACATTTCATTGAAAATATAAAAAGGCAATTTGTTACGACCTTGGGTGGTGTTGTACAATTAATAACAGTGAGTGAGTGCAAATAACGTTGATAACGTTTAAAGAGACCGATATATTACATTAGCTCTACAGGCTAGGACTTACAAGAAAAGGAATGGATACAGAAACACAAGTCACTGCTTTTACATATCACACAATTTATTGCCGACCTAAAACCATAATCAGCAGGCTCACACGTCTTTCTGTTTTGTACTGTAACAGTCTGGCAACAAGTCATCATTACTAAAAGGAATGCTCAAAAATATGTGCTCCTTCCCCCTTTGTTTTTGTTGTAAGAAATTTTTTTTGTCATACCATTTCATGACAACAGATTGCAACGTCCGAATTCAGTTTTACAAGGTCCTGCAAAAAATAATTTACAAAAAAAGTATTTACATGTCCCTTACAAGTGGCACATATTTTTGTGCACCCATGTTTTGTCATAAATGCATTGATTCGAGTAGGCATCTCTGTTAAGCTAGACCCCCTCCCCAAGAAAACAATCATTATTCCGATTATCAACAATTGGAAAACAGCAGTTACATTACAATGTATACAATACACATAAGACTTGTTGTTCTTGAGTGGTATTTTGTTCCACACAAAATTGACATAGCCACCACTTATTTAACACCCTTCATGTAAAGGCCAACCCTGTTTAAATGATCTCTGAGATGGAATAATTATTTCTGTACAAATGTGCCCAGATATATTTACTGTTGCCTATATGAAAAGAAAGGAAATGCAGCTTTCCCTACATAGGATATTCCTGTGCACACCAAACTTGACATGTGTGTTGGGGAAAACATGTACATGTTTGTGTACATGTGTGTACATGTACTGCATGTGCAGGTGGTACTAAGTAATTGTATAATAGGTTGTGGCAGGTACAGTTATAATATCCAGAATTCCACATTGTGATAACTGTCCACAAGGGCAAAATACATACTGAAATATATCAGGACACATACGGACAAATTAACAAATGTTCATCCCATGTCACACCCAAACAGAGTGTGGCAAGTCCTTAGATCACTGGTACACGATGGGTACTAGTTCTTAAGAACTGAGGCATAGAAGTTTAGTAACAAATCATTTGGCAACACAGTTTGCTTACGTGTATTCCTCAAGAGTTAATCCCAACCGAGGCCATGTGGATTTAGTGCCTATAACAATAGTTTGCCATTAGACTTTGCTTTGCCGTTTGTATTCCCTGGTAGAGTTACAGTGTAACACTACATCTAGCCAAAACATCTGACCAAAGGCTACATGCATGTACATTTGTAGCTGACTGTGAAACTCACAAAAAGTCAGAGAAGGTCTTGGATTACAACAGGTTGTTGAACTGAGGACATCGTCTGGCTCTTTTGAAGCCAAGGACTAAAAGAGAACCTGCATTTGAAGATGAACCTTCCCAGTGATCTCTTTTTCAAAAAAATCTCAAGTTAGATGGAAGGACACTAACACACACTGTAACTAACAAGGCAATGTTTGAGTCAGGCGTGAGTTCCAGACTAGTTCATGAACTTCAAAAGTGGTATCGCAGCCAAACGTTTGACAAAATGTACACACGATCAGGATTCTGGATGAATAAGACATTTTACCATGTCTACATTGTATCTTAGAGGACAAAATACACAATGACTTAGTATACATTTACAATATTAGCAATATGTAGTACATAATTCAGTTATTGTACCTATCAGCTTCATGGATCAAGGATGTCATGACCACAAAATACCCTTACCTATGTTCATCTTAAAGGGCATTTGAAAATACTACTTTACTTAGCTACTTTATGGCTTCTGCTGTATTTTAGAAAGCCATAACTTGTACTAATACTCTCCCCTTTCTGAGGTTTTCCATGAAAATGTGTCAAAAAGTGCTTATATAATCTTACAGTGTAGAAGCATTTTCCCAACCTTCACAACCAGGACACTACAAACCCTGGAGGCTGAAGGAGACACTTAACGGCATTAACATGACTTCCAGAAAAGCATTTAGCCAGAGCACATCCTTCCAATTTCTGCTCCAAACAGCTTGGGTACCAGAATTTGACTTGACCGCTGTCTTTTTAAAAGCATGATAAGTAAAGCAGATTCACTACGTTATCTGGTCAGTGTTTTTTGGCTATTTCTCTCGCTGTCATATTTCCAGCTGGATGGATTTCTCTGATTGTAAAGCCATGATAACAGAACATTCCAGTGGAAATCTCCGTCCCCTATAGTTCCACATGTAAAGCCCAGAATCTAGGCGACGACTGTTATGACTTTGAGCCCCCGGTGAAGGCTACAGGTGTTCCAAAGTTGAACGCCATTGGGACGTTCTGCTGGGGGAACTGGTAGCCTCCCTGCTGTTCAATCCTCTTCGATTCTGCGGAGTTGTGAAAATAAAATAATAAAGTCTTTAGATGTGGACAGAGAAAAAAATTTGACGAAGAAAGACAAGGAAGGGAAAAGTTTTTGTTTACATTCACTGATACAAAAAAGTTCGTAAGTTCCAAAAGTTTCCATAAAACAAAAAACAGTAATTTTCGAGGGCATTCAGTAACGAAAACAACTACATCACAATGATGCATATATGTACTGTATAGACATCACTTGCAACACGTTTTTTCTTTTAAACAAGTTTTAAAAAAAAGATTCTCAAATTTCTATGCCAAAGTTTAATGTTCTGACATAAAAAAAAGACTTAGTCTACTAATGCATAATCTACTTGGTTCCTTGAGTTTGCTGTCTGACCACAGACTGACCACAGGATGATTGACTCACCAGCTGCAGCTTGCCTCTGGTCAGCCATGACAATGACCTCCTTCAGTTCCTTGACCTGCTCTTCGTTGAGATGTGATGTCAGAGCGTTGTACCAGGCTGGCTCTCTGCTCTGTAGAGCTGTCATACACAATACACAGTACACAAGGATCAGGATATATACTTGTGCATGTAGTAAGATGGTTTATCATTAGTATCACATAGTAGTAGTAGTAGTAGTAGTACATGTAGTACCAGTAGTAGTACCGGTAGTACTACTTGTAGCATGTAATAGTAGTATTAGTAATAGTAGTACTAGTAGTAGGAGGACATACATGTATAGTAGTACCAGTAGTAGTAGTACTAGTAGTAGTGGTAGTAGTAGTTTGTAGTAGTAGTAGTAGTAGTAGTAGTAGTAGAAGTAGTACAAATGTAGCAGGAATAGGCCAGCAGTCAACTAGTCTTCATACCACATTTCCAGTCAGCTCTATCCAGTGTGTCACTTCTGATTACGCCATACATTTCAATGCCTGTCTTGGATGACGCGATTAACAGATTTTGTGGTCTCATTGTTTTTTGTGGTGACCATCAGCCATGATCTGGCATGGCACATTCTCTCTATGACAAGTCAAACTGACGACAGTAAATACATGTATCATCTTGTACCACCACCACTTACTCTGCATGACACTCTTAAAGATGACAAACTCGTCCACGGTGCAGTCGTCCTCGTCTAGCGGAGTCAGGTAACTCTCCAGCGGGGTCTCCTCTGCATCGTCCTCCCAGTCTTCATCATCAAGTTCTCCTGCCTACACAAACAGCAGCAAGCCAGGAAATTCACATTTTCTGCTCTTAAAAATACTTGATATATAGTTTCATTCAAAAGCACAGAGGTTAAATGAACCATTGAGAGAACATGTACACATACATGCAGTGATATCTGATTTCTTATGTGATTTTTTTTTTCAGTTCAGATGGTTCTATCAAATCTGGCAATTCCTCAGAAAAGTTGTTAAATCTTGACCCTCTGAAACACTATTTCCTGCCATTTTGAGGGGCAAATTTAGCTCATACACTTCATAACATAACTTTCCATATCTTCACATGCCGATTTTTGTCCATCAAATATGACATACTGGGCATAAGTTTTGTCTGTCATGAGTGGCGAATTTCTGTCAGACGACAGAAAGACAGATGCTGGCTAGAACACTGCACAAGACTCACCCTCTTAGCCAAGGCTTCCAGGTACTCCTGTCCATCCTCATCTATCTCATCCTCATCACTCGCCAGCTCTTCTGCATGGAGACAACAGGCAGTGTTAAAAGGGAGCAGTAACTACACACCTGGATACATGTTGTTATACAGGTACATTTTCTACAGTTTTTGTATGCATGAGAATATTTTCAATATATGCAGATTGGCTGTGAGCATATCTAAATATTTTCATTTCATTTCGTGAATCCACTTAATTAATTTTTTTATTGCCCCAGCATTGTCCCGAAAATGAATTTTTAATTGTCCTGAAGTGAGGTTGAACTGTACCAATCTGTTTCTCGGGAAGTATGTATGACAACAACTTGAAGTCAACTTTATTTTGCTTAATATGTTCTGACTCCCAGGCACACAATAATTGCAGAGTAGACAAGAAATTTGGGAGGCCTTTCCGAGCCAAAAGCCAGGACGAATGCCTGATCAACGAAAGTAGGGCTGACTTTCTGATGTTGATTATTTTTCTATTTTCCCCAAAATCTCCCAAATTGACTTTTCAGTTGTCCCAGCCTACATGTAAATTTTAGTGGTCGATGGCCATCGGGACCCTGTTAATTTTGAGCCCTGTGTAGTACAGTGCTGTGAAGTTTGCTGGATGTGATTCTACAGGTGGTGAAGTTAATAATGGGTGAGACAGAAGACTTTTTACCTCCATCATAGTCCTCATCCTCCTCCCCATCATCATCATCATCCTCCCCCTCCTCCAGAGAAGCCTTGTCTGGGGAACAGGAATCCAGGAGTTAGGACTTACTCACTACGAACTACCACATAGTATAATAAACATAGCCTGGATGTCTGTGTAGTACTTATACCTGGTAGTTCTAAGCAACTTGACGATTTGTGCTGAAAAGATACTTTCATCACGTGACGTCTTGTCTTGCTTATGAAAATGACTTACAAGAGTACAAATCATAACTAAGTCAAATGGAAAGCAAAATATGATCATAATTCATATAGAGTAGGCAGAGAGCATCAGTATAAAAATACAAGCCCTCTCACAATGTTATGTTCGTACTTACCATTAAAAACACATTCCTTATGTTAAAACTATGGTAATTGTTGTGTCTAAATACACATCAAATAAACACAATTTGCACGGTACCTAGTTTTTTTCTCAGAATGTTTGCAGTACTTACGAGCATAAGCTCTCTTCAGTCCCTCAAACAGCATGAGTAGTGAAGGTAGGAAGCTCTGTGCAGCAGAGATGATGGGTTCAGGTCTGGTCTGTAGTTCCATCAGGGCACACAGGCCCAGGACACACACTTTTCTGTCATGGAGACTGGGGGTAAGATGAATACCAGAATTAAAACGGTTAGCAATTGTCTTTTCTGTAGTTCCACCACAGCACATAAGCTCAGGAGGGTTAACAGCAGTCTCAAGAGCAGAGGCCAGTATTAAGAAGTCAGTTAGACATTTTGATACGAGTTTAATATTACTCATTCGACAACAGAAAATCTGATTTCATAAATTGAGCAACAACATTCTGAATCTAATCCAAAATGAAGCAAAGACATTACAGTAAGAGATACAGCATAAGCATATGTACAAGTAAGTTTGGTACAATGTTCACTGCATTGATGACAATTGAGATTAATACAAAGTTTGTATTTTGATTTGAAGATAATACGTATCTATTCACAAACATAACTACATGTATAATGCAAATCGCTTCCAGTGAATTATCTGAAGAAAAGAAGTTGTTGAGTTGTTGCAACTACAAAATGTATTTGTGACATATGGCATAGCAGAGAACCTACCCCAGGAAGCAGTCTGTGTCCCTGAACCACTGGTCGATGAACTGTTTGGTGATGGCCTCACTGCTGTTGGGAAGTCTCATCTTCTCTAGTGTGTCCACCAGGAGGGGGGTGTTGTAGTACAGGGCTGCAATCACCTAATGGGGGGGGGGTAACTTGTAAGGGCTAATGTTGTGTTGCTAATTTCTAGTTTCAAAGGTCCTGAAAAAATTATAAGATTTGTTACTTAGATTTTGGCTCCAGTGATCCAATAAATACAATGCAAAACTGAAAAGTATCAGGGCACTAGCATTTTCACAATTATACGTTTTTTACACACATATACAATTATACAAGTACATCAAGACTGAACAAGGAAGCATGTACATGTACAACGTGTTGAAGTTAATATCAGTTTTTCTAGTGCAACAGACATGAAAACATGTTGGAAAACAATTGTTTTCATCATTCAAATGTTATCCCCCCCCCCCAAAGTCTGGAAAAGGTTTTTGCTCCGTTTTTTTCCTAGCACTTAGCTCAAATGCGTTCACTTGAATGAACATGTGAAATTGTAACAAGGGAAATCGTAGATTTCAAACCTCCGGGTTTTTTTGTGTTCTATTGGTTTAGGTTATTTGTTTGTGTGTAGTATGAAAGTTATGTGCGTAATATGTTTGTATGTGTTTGATGGCTACTGACGGTTGGTTCGGTATGGACTGTTGATGGACTGTGACTGTTGACGTGTCTCACAGTCTGACAGCCTGCACCGTCACCCGCGCCATTACCCCCGCCGTCATCCCGCGCCGTCATTGCTGCGCCGTCACCCAAAATTTTTATCGGAACCAGACACCCCTCTGTTTGACCACTTTTGAATGCTAAGACCCAAAACTGCAACCGCCCCATTCCTTAACAACATGGTAATTACCATTTTCAGCATGGCGGGGGTGTCCGTAGCACTTAAAAACCTTTTATTTCGACGCCCATAAACACATATGCAATTAAACAAAAACGTTCTGCATCATCTGCAGCCCAATAGCAATACGTATACCGAACCACAGACAAATCCGTCCAGCCGATCGCGAGAAACAGCTGCTGACAGAAATGTTTCGAACCATAGTAAAACCTCCTCGCGGAAGGATATCTCCTTCCCCGGAGGTAAAAATGATCAGACCCATGAAATTTTGGTTTGAGGTATAAAGTTGTTGCAGTATGTAAATACAACTTGTATATATTACTTGTTTCTGATGAATATTCTACAACAAACTATGTGACAGCACTGACCACTTGCAAACACATGGTCCTCAGTTCACTGGTCTTCACTTCCCGAGTTAACCTCTCCAGAGCCAGCTCTACAAACAGGGGGACACACTGTAGGGGGGAGGGAGGGAGAGGATGAAAATTAGTCAGATTGAAAACAAATCTGGCAACAGCCATTCCACACTGATTTAAACTGCTACATGTACATGTATGTCATGTGTAATAGGTTTCTTGAAAATTCGTAACATTTCCAAAGCATTGCAGGGGGTTTATGTGAAACCACTGTCAATACAATGTGTATGATTATAAGAAATTGCCCTGTCATATGTGTACAATTGTACAAAATTAGTTAACTAATTGCACATCTCTGTATTATTGTAAGATAGATTTTACTAAAATTCTTATGTACAAACCAAGAGCAGGACATGTGGAAGAACAAACCCAGAACATAAATAGTACATAACTAATTTTTAAAGCCTTAACCTTAGAATTTTCCTAATGTTTGTGTTATGTAAGGTCTAAGCTAGCTACAAGACTTAAATGATATTACTATCTTGCATCTTTACCTGATCGATGTTGCCCACACCCTTACACTGAATGAGTGAGACCTCCAGCAGTTTGGCAGCGTGGCACTCCGCATCTTCCCCTGCCTCCCCTGATGTCAGGATCTGGCAAAATAGAACCTGTCTTTATCATCTGTTCACATGTGAGAAAAGAGGCCTCCAAAAACTGGGTGCATGTGCACCTTAGTGCACCCAAATTTGGAGCTGTGCACCCAGTTTTTTTTCTACAAATATTTTTGTAGGTATTTTTGCACATTGATGTATATAATGATATTCTTGGCATCTAAATGTCAGAAAAATATTTGTTGTAGTACTTGTTTTGATTTTGAAGTTAGTTCCCATAACTTTCAGATTCAAGCTCAGAAGTGAAGCAGTAAGATCTGTAATTAGGCTTTGTTTTGTATGGTGCAACCAAAAACATTCTTGTGCTTCAATTTTTTTATGTTGGGTTCACTATAGCCAGTGCACCTATTCCCCAAAATGAATTTCTTGCCCTTGAAACTAAACATCTTCAGAAGTAACACACTGTGCTTCTTGAATTGAAAAAAAAATAGCAGAATTGTCAAGAATCCTAAGAAAAAAGGAAAAAGTTCTGATTTTTCGATGCAAATTTTCCAACATCAAAAGATAAATATGTTGTTGTCCTGATAATACTGAAGACAAAGGGCAAGAAAGGGACAAAATTTCTCTTGGTACATGTGTACATGTACAATGTGTATTACTCACAGACTTGGACATGTTGTAGACAATCTCCAGATGTTTGGGACTAGACAGGAAGGCCTGGGTGTCCACAGTGATGTAGTTGTGTATGCATGGCATCATTTCTGTCAGACATAACATTAAAAAAACACTTAAATTCTTTAGAACTTTTTTTTTCGTCATAAACACTCATAGCACATTAAGTGTTTCTATTTTTCGTATGTAGAATTATGCTGAAAATACAACTAGGAATCACCAAAAAGAATAAGAAATCTTCAGACTGGAAATTACAAGACCTTTATATCCAATGAAACTCAAGCAACTGGATAGATTTTAGAAACTGTCGAATGTTTCAAGTAGCACCCACTACAGGTATAAGTAACTTACACTAGTTTCTAATTTCTCCACAACTACCCACTTACAATACTTCCTTTAGGCATGAACTCCCCATCAATCATCAAAATCACCTCCCACCCACCATGCAACCAAAGCTGTAGACAGTAGTATAGTTTATAGTATAGTGCCCTGCTTGTTTACCTGTGAAATAGTCAAAGGCCACCTCTTTGAAGTTCTCATACAGCAGGTAGAGAACCTGCCACATGTTCTGGGACACACTGGAGCACGTCAGACTGTAGATCAGAGACAGGATCTCCTCATAGAACTCTGCAGGACAAAAAAAAAGTTTTAAACTAGTGTATGTGGTTTTATTTTCACCATTTTCGCAGTGACCACTCCATAGTAACTTCATGATATATGCCTCCCTTGTACGACTTCAACTGTTTCAAAAGCAAATTTAAAACCACCAGGCAACTCCCCGTTTTCTCCTACTGCAAAATATTGAGTACAATCATGCAATGTTTTACGGTATTTCATGAAACACTTATATAGTTGGGTCCTGTTTCAATAGAAGGGTCCTGTTTCAAACATTTAGCTGCAAAATGTTGTAAACAAAGTTTTGATTTTCATTTCTATACAGTTCTTTGGACAAACTATTTTTCACACTAAAAAAGACTCCTCTTAACATTATAACCTTCTCCTTGCTAACTAACCTCCATAACCAAAAAATGTGCCAAAAGGCCTCTTCAGAAGGTTAAACTATAAAAGTGAAGTACACCCATCATGGCCGTAGTATAAAGAATGTGACTCTCACCTAAGACCTGCTGCTGCAGCACCAGTCCAACCACTTTCAACACCACTGCCTCCAGATGAACCATAATCTGTGCACAGAGAACAGGTGGAACAAACCATAAGCTTATGAACACAACAAGAATATTCACAGAAAATTGTCAAACAACAGAAGAATCTTATTCAAGAAATTTTTGGCTAGACCTAAGGCGTGAAGCCATTTTACATCCCACCTCTTTGTGATCCTCCATGACTGTGAGAATAGTTTCTATGGTGTTGAGGAGACCCATGGCAGTGATGGCCTTGTCTTCGTTGCCAGAGTCCTCACTGTCAATACACTGGGCAAATGTGTCCGCCTGAAGAGAAGGCAGCAAAGACAAGTGTTAGGGAAGACTTTCCAACACTCTGCCAAAGTATTACAATTCTTCAAATTTAAGAGTTGGAATTGGCTACAGTAAGAACAGAAAGTAGTACAATGTTTATACTTTTTTACTAAACATACCTCTTGATAGAACTGTCTAAAGGCTTGCAATGCAAACCTTGAATTATACAGCAGCGCTATGAGAGTTTGAGTTATTTTTTCCTCAAGTAAAATGTTGTCCATAGCAGCCTGATGGTTTCACCAAACAAAAGGAACGGAGAGTAATCGCGATTTAAGTCTTAGCTCACTAAGAGCTAATTTCCTACTGGTTGTAACAGAGAAGACAGACGCTATGTACAGTATTTACAGGTTCATTATACCGGGTAAATTCCCATAGCTCCTTTGGACAAGCACAATGAACCGTGGACCACGACTTAACATCCACACTGCGACCTTCCAGTAGCATGCATGTCGGGTGAGCAACAACAGCCGAGATTTGAACTCCCAACCTCTTGGTCCAGAGGAAGGGTTGCTAACCACTGGACTACACATGCTAGGTTTCCCAGTGACAGAAAAAGAAGCCCATCTCACCAGATGTTGAGTCATCTCCACAGCGATGATAGCACACTGCTCTGTGTAGGTACAGATGAGCTTCTGCATGACTGTGGTCAGGTCATCATTCTCTGTCTCCCTGATGATCACCAACAGTTCCTGGATCACAGGGCGCACGTGGGGCTCCACAAACTCCTTAGCTACAGACACAAGAAAAACCCAGGTGTGAGTGGTTCAAACCTTACAGTCTGGTCCCGGGGTTGACATCTTGAAAAGGTGATAGTCACCTGTTATGACATCCTTTCTACAGACACAGAACAAGAATTTTTTTTTACTTTTTCAGAAGTATTGCCTACTATTGGAGGGTCCCCTCATGCATTTCCAGAAAAAATATAAAGGAATGTACATGCACCAACTAAGATTCACTTACACACAGACTCTGTTGTTCTACTCTTGAAGAAAATAGAGAATACAACAAACTAAACTCTCCTGTATGATGCATGAATACTTGGGCCAGCAAAATTGATACTAAAAGACTCTTTTGTACTAAATAAAACAAACACTGCAAGTACATGTTTCACATGTAACTTACTACTACAATAGTTGCTATTGGCAGATTGAACCTTGACAGTGGTAGAAATACTTTTTCAGAATGTTAAAATTTTGTTTTGCATTTCTGAAATACTTTCTGCAAAATACACATTTACCAGTCTGGACCTATACAAAATTGCATGTTGGCAAACATTTTATGTGCAATTTGAAAAATACTAACATGCAAAATTACTTGTATATTAGAGAGTTAACACGAAAGCCGATACTGTTGAACCTGAAGCCTGATTTTTTCATTCTGCTGTGCATAATTGCAGGTTGCTTAGTTTTTCATCCTGCAATATTGAAAATGTCTCTGCAAAATTTGGACTGCAGGTGGGTGGCTGACCTTTTGGCTGGTGGGTGATGAGCATCTGCAGTGCGATGGCAGCCTCCACTTTGACTGGCATCTCCTTCTCCTGAGTCAGACACATGTGCACCAGCTCCAGGGCTGACTTCAGGTTCTCCTCACTCTTCCACTGAACCTCACAGAAATAGTGCAGCACCCAACAGGCCTGGGGAGAGACATTATACAGTCAAATGTGTCTAAGGAAAAGTGGTCATCTTAGACAAGTGGTCTTCTTATACACAAAGCGTGGCATCAAAACAACACAGAGAACAGCTAAATTTCCACCAATTTTACAATAGACTACCCCATAGACCCAAAGTGACCCAGCCTGTGCCATTTTACATTGCACAAAGACTGTCCTGTTGTCGAAATTTATGGAAATCAGCCAATGCCATCAATACTTTTCACTATTTAGGCCATGTTGATTTGATTATATGGATGACATCCTCTGGGAACCCCAAAACTGATGCGCGCGTGCGAATAAAAAAAAAGTTTTGAAAAAAAAAAAAAGTTGCTTTCACTATGAAATCTACGTGGTCATGAAGGTTGAACAAATGGCACAGAATATGTTATGGCGAATAATCTACTCTTCGAATTCATTTCTTTACATTTTTGTCTTTTTTCCTTTGATTTTGGCATTCTATGACATTGGTATCGTTTCTAAATGTTTTCCTTGCAACATATGGTATATTTTTGCTCATTTAGCAACTGTTTTGCACAATTTACAGTATGGTTGAAAACTTTTTTTTTTGGAAACGGCCGAAAATTCATGCGGGCGCGGATGTCATCCATATAATCAAATCAACATGACCTTATAAAAAAAATTATCGCCACACGCTTGAAAATAACATGGTAGGAAGATGTTGGGCCATGTGAGGTCCAAAATAGTGTCAGTTGTGATTGCGTTGGACAAGTGGTCAGCTTAGGCAAGTGCCTTAATTTTTACGTCTATGTACTTACCCGAGCCCTCATGTAGCCAAGCTCATTTCTGAAGAGCGGGAACACAAAATTCTGCAGCATGGACTCCATCTGGTCTTTGTAGATCTTTTTCTGATAAAAAAAACACAGTGATACAAAACTAAAATTTTAGCATGGGTATTGCAATTAATTTGTATCTTTATCTGTATAGCCATTATAACTGGCCAGCTGGCTATAATACACCAAACTACTTGTTACACCTAACCCTTGAACATCTAACTCTAAACATTCTTTAAAGCTATATCTAGTTAGGATGCCTGTACTTGATGGCAGCAAGTTCCACTCTACGAAGTTCTAGGGAAAAAAATCAGTTTTTGAGCACTTCAAGGCATTTATGCTTTCTTTAAACTTGCAGACATACAGAGGGCAGTTTTTCTTCAAATCTGGCATCCAACCCCCATCGGAGACGGGATACATACAAGCAGATTTACGCAGAGGAGGTCTCCTTACCTTCAGCAGTATGTCTGCACATGTTCCTATCATGTGGAGAGCTCCGTCCTTCAGCCGAGGGTCTGTGTTCGCTTCTGTCAGGGCCTGAAAAAACAGCAAAACAAACCATAGCTATAGACTGTTCAAGAATTTTATAATTTTGTGAATTATGCCTAAAGCTTTCATGTTAGAAATACAGGTTATCAAGTTTTTATATTCATACATCAAAGAAGGAAATACACCTAAAAGAGATAGCACACTCAAGTTAAAAGGACTCATTTCAATGATAACACTTACATACATGTACAACAAAAAACAGACTCTTCAAAATGAAAAACAAACATCTAATAAAATGTAATAAAGAACAAAGATATTGAAAGATTATGAAGGGCAAGTCCAGTTCCCCACCCTGTAACACTTTTGATTCCTGATTATTTTTTTTTTATAAATACCAACCTTCATACAGAATCCCATGGTTTTCTGGAGGACATCTTTTCTCTTGGAGGTGGTGGAGTGGAGGAGGGTCTGGGCAGCCGTTACAGGAGACACAAAGTCTTCAAACACGTCTGGACAAAAACAGACAGCACACTGGTCATGGCTACTACATGTATACATGTACTTCATGTGTTGGCAATACAGCTTACCAACAGTATTGTCATAAACTACATTTGGTAACTGCTGTGACTGCTGATTTGACACATGGCTCAATGAATTTCAGACACAAAGTCTTCAAAGAACATTTTTTTTTACAATTTGTAAACTTTGTTGTCCTTAAAACCATACTTTTACATCAATGAAGTCAGTCAAATGCTTTAGTAATTTTTTCAGGACCGTCATCTAAAATATAACATTTATTTCCCTAGGTGCAAATAGCCAGGATTCTCCTTCATATCCTTGTGACATCCTTACCAAACTTCATGCGGATGTACTCATACGGGTCCTCCTTCCACAGCAGATCATCCTCGTCTGTGTAACACATCAGGGGGAACACTACCTCACAGATAATGTCCTGGAGAAGAGGCACAGACACTAGTTATCTCACCACTACAGCTGTGTGCAGAAGCAAATTTTAGGAACAGGTACATAGGTTTAGGTACAAGATCAGATCAGACAAGTTTGACCAATCATCTGCAAGTTGTACAATTTTTGGTGTCCAATCTGTCCTTTTGGGAGGATAAATTGTTGTATGAGGCTTTATAATTATATACAGTAGTTTAATCTAAAATTTTCCCCTTTGAAATGCAATTTTTTCAGTTTAGTGTAAACAAATTGGCATCCACTAATGTTTTATTTTGTTCAGGTACAGGTACAATAGATGTTCAGTTTTGGGCTTGATACTTGTGATCCATTGCATCTGGGTATAAACTGCAAAGTTTTGATTTTTCCAACAATTATTATACAACTTTGTACAGTTACAAACCAAAATGAGCATCAATCAGTGCAGCTACATGTTTCTAATGTCTGTAGTACTGTAGCTACAGGTACATGTTGTACGTACCACCATGTGGTTCTTGAGGACCTTCCAGCAGACTGCGTGGCTCACACCGGTGTTCAGGTAGTTCAGCGTCTGCTGCAGAACCCGCGGAGTCACGTACTCCTTCCGCCGGTACGCCTCCAGGACCTTCAGCAGTACACCCAGGATACGCTCTGGTGGACAGAACAGTTCACGTTCTTTCAGAGCGCTTTTTCGTTTGATATTTTCCGTTTGACCACAAGTTCAAGTTCAAAGATGTTTTAGACTATATATCTTCTGCAATTCATGCCTGTTGGTACATTAAGCTATATGACAAAATTGAAAATAGGATAATTGGAAAATTATGGAAAGACAACATTTGATATTTTACATGTAGCAACAGACTATGAGGAGAAAATGTAGAATGTAACAATGACAATTCTGTAATACTATTCAAGAAATACTATGCTAATTCTGTCTAAGTGAGGTTCAAATATTTGTGGTGAAGAGTTGCCTACCTGAGAAGGTTTTGATGTACCACTCTGCAAAACTGTTGTATTCCTTGGTGACATTACCAGGGCTGCCATATCTAGGAAAGACGACATTTTCAAAAAAATGTTTATTTGGATTCTTCTTGATTGAAAGGACCTTTGTATGTTAAATTAATTGTCGATATCCTTGTTCTAAGCTTGTTCTATGAATAAGTAAATTAACTACATTGTATCACAGATAGAAAAGATGGCTTTATCACATGCGACACAAGTCACGTGTCCTAAACATGTTTCCGAAGGTCCAAATTGAAAGACATGACTTGAAGCTATTTGCATTAAATATCAAGTATGGCCCTAAAAGCTGTCATTGTCGATTGGTTGTGAAAATCGTCTTTTTTAAAAAGGTTACCTTTCAAAAACTCTTGCTAGAATGTGCATGGCCCACTTCTTACACTTCCACCAGGGGAGGTCTGGTCTCTCATCCTCGTCAATCTGCAGTGTGTGCTGCAGTAAAAACACAACAGTCATCATTAAAACAATCCATTGCATTGTAAAACAATGATTGTAAATCATGAATCTTTTACAGTGGTTTCATTTCACAGCAGGGGGAATAGCAAGGTTTTCACTATGTTTTACATTCCCAGTTAAAACAATTCTGTAGTACGGTAGTCATAAAAGAAAGGCATATTTGCAATGTCATGAATTCAGTGGAGCAGTCATTACGAAAATGAACAGCCGCAAAAGTTTCAAAATTTACAACTGAACTATGCTAATGTTTGGTTGAAAAGGCTGTTCATGGGTTTTCCCCTATTCTCTTACTGTATCTCCCAAGTCCACATCCACAAACATGATGTGGGAATTCCTCGTTTTCAACAATAATAAAAACAGGAAACATTTTCACTTTCACTGGCTAAACAAAAACATTTTCCTGACTCTTAAGTTGATTCCTCTTCATTATCTGATTTTCCATAATGTTATAGCTGATGCACACAGGAAAACATCTTATGCACACACTAAGAGAAGAGAATTTTGCGTACCTCGGGTATAGGACGTTCCATAATCTGTTGGAGTGACTTGACCCACTGCTGGAAGATAGGCCGTGTGACCAGGTCCTGTTGCAGGAAGTACTGGAGGGTATACAAGGAAAACATTTGAAAGGCATCCAACACAATTTCTGGGCAACAAAGCAAAAAAAAAAAATGTTCTGGATGAGGAAATCTGTTTGATATTGACATTTATTGCCTTCATAGTTGAAGCAATAGACCAATCCTGAAGCCCCGCCCATCTCCATCAAAACATAGAAATGTAAACCTTTGACAGACATGCAGCCAAGTTCTCATTGGTCGAACTGCTAATTGCCCTTCTCTCATTAGGCCACACCAATTTAATTTCTTGGTTAACGGATTTTTCTAGAAAAAAAATGGAGCGGGCGGGCGAAAAAAAAATAAAAATAAAAATTTGAGACCACCTGCCATGCAGCCATGTAGTAAGCAATCCATTAAGTTTTAAGTTACAAAATGATATAAGATATTATATTAGACACTTATTGAACTGAAAGGACCATTACTACATGTATATGAGCAACTTCTCTTACATCCCTTTACAATTATTCGTATTATTTTGCAAGATACACATCTTTACTGTATGAACAACAAACTGTCAGTTGACAAGACTCCCATTCAACTGGTTTCACTTTTATTCATCTTTCAATGTTCCAAAGAGTGGTTTAAATCAGGGTGCTCTGTTCAGATCCCATTGTTTTCTTAGTTCAGGGCACACAGCTTACCACTGGGCTGGGCATTCTATTGTGTCTGGCTGATATGGAAGTTATTTAGAGCTTGAAATTTACAATATCCTAAATATATGCTTTAGACAAATTTCCAGGAATGTGTAAAAGTTATTGGCAAAAGAATTAACTACTTTTACAGATATTTTATTTATTTTTTTATCTTTCCCCAATTCCCAAATACTACCGGTAGTATACATTTTATATTTCCCATTATACACTTTAGGTATGCTACAGCTACATTATACTTAGCCATCATTCAAACAAATAGCCACATTGACACACTCTTCAAGTTGCCACAAATTCAATGGTCTAGGGTTTCACTATAAAGTCTTTGATGTATGGGGATTTTTATTTGTAGGGGGAATCACTTTATTAAAACCTTTAGATGTAATAATCGATGCATTATTTGCAATTGTACTCCTGTTTATAGGTGTCTAAATAAGATGTAACTTTGTTAGAATGCCACATGCACATGTAGTATTTTTCACAGAGTAATTTCTATAATTAAAAGAACCTGTTTCCCCCTACTTGAAGTGGACTCTTCCGGCCGCGAGAAAGTTGCTTTAGTGAATGGACTTACGTGCATGGAGGACTTTTTACTTTGCCAAATTCCCATGTTTGTGGTAGGATTTTGTACTTTTTGAGAGTAGTACAGTTTGTGATGCCAGAATACATTGTTATGTCGTGTTATTTTTACATATTCCCTGGAAAAAAGATCGTTTTGAAGGTGTGTGTGCATGTGCCGCCCAGGCCGAGTTTATACGTTCGGCCGATTACTTTCCGTTACTAGCACATGTTTCCGACACAATACGTGTTTCTAAATGAAATATAATATATATCTAAAAGGGAGATGATATGTTGTTACAGGCACGATGACTTAGTAAATCTGCCGTACGTTTGACTGTCGTCAGTGAAGTTTTGTCACATGAATGGTGACATGTGCAAAGGGGGTGGGGGGCGAGTTCTATATCAAAAGAATGTTTTTTGACGAACTTTTGAAGAGGCAACCTAGCTTTCCGAACAAATTGCACTCAGAAAAATGTTTCTGCCTTGAAGCAATGTATTTTTAACGCTGTTAACTATGCCCAAATTTTGAAAAATTACAACGTACGGGGTGGATTTTGGGGCCGCAATTCGGGACCCGAGAGTATGGATTTTTGTTCTGTTTTTATTTTTATTTCATTTTGGCAAAAAAACGAAGCGGCGAATCCGTTAACCAAGGAAATAAATTGGTGTGGCCTTAGAAGTAATTGAACTTCTATGTACATTTGGGATCAGTCTTTTCTGTGGTTCAGTACCAATACAATAGATTATGCATATTTGTGGTGACAGGACTTTGCAGTGAAAGAATCATTGCAAAAACATGAATATAATAAAAACAGCAATAATTTCATTATCTAGGGTACCTGAACCTACCCACCTGGATCAGGGCATAGAAAATCTTGAGGATTTGTTTCTGGATGAGAACGGAAGCCTGTGATTGGTCGGGGATGAGCTGGTTCAGTCTCTCGTGCAGGACGGGGAGGAAAACTGTCATGGCGGCGTTCAGCGGGGCGCGCTCCTCGGGCTTCTTGTACCTGTCCCATTGGGCACGTGACGGACTAGTTAAACTCAGTAGCATCGCTCATGGATTTCCACAAGTTAGATAATTACATAATGGAACATCATGCTAAAGGTAAGACCAGTGACTTCTTGAAAAATCCTTACACCACCACTACTATGCACCCATAACTCTAGTATGTAACTGCAAGTACAATTTATTTTCATATCATAACTGTTAAACATAATAGAGGACTCTAGTATCCAACAGAACCACAATTGCATAGTTTAGTATCATGTCTAAATCAGAGAATTCAGACTTTCAGGAAGCATGTAATCAATGGCTTTTTGAATTCCCCCATGTCAATGTGGCTCTGGCCAAATTTTTATAGCTTTCATTTCCTGTCATCCTGCCTGTCAATCTTCCTGCACCCATTTGCTGTCAACCTACTCTTGTCTGGAAAAACAGACACAAACCCACAGCTCAGTCACCCAAAATAATACTTCTATATGAGAAGTAATCAACTCAACCATTAGATTGATAGATTCCAACATCATGAACTTCTTATATCATCTTTGTATGGATGACAGTTTGGGGGATTTGACCATCAAAATGACAACTTACTCGTAGTTCTTGACCAGTTGGTAAATGCTGAGAAGTGCCCCCAGCCATGTGTTGGGCTGGTTGGAGGTGATGTAGGTCTTGAGCTTCTGGATGACGTCGTGCCAGCGGCCGGGGTAGTCATGTTTCAGGATGTGACTCATGCACGTGCCCAGCTGCACCCTGGGAAATATGGGAGATACCATTTTAAGTTGCAAGAAAATGCACTTGAAGGCAATCAATGCAAGTTCAAGGTGGCAAAACTGGAAATATTGTGATTTGTGAATAAGGCAATCTGCATGATATTGACCCTAACTGCCCCACATCAGCAAAACTGCATCAGTATTTCATACTTTGTTCATGATGAATCCTTTATTTTCTTGGTTGTACCCCAAAAATCAGCCCAGGATCCTACCAGTAACCTTTCTCTGTCACAGCTTTTGATATTTTCGCTCCATGAATGCCGATATACATCGGAAAAGTGTTGTTTCAGCTTAAAAGCCCTAAAAACTGCATTGGGCACCTTTCAATATGAAGTCAATACTTAGACCTAGGAAACTGACATTCTAGACAAAAGGACAGTATCTATCATATTTTATATCGGATATCATCCTTTAAAGGTGAAGCCCCAGAGAGCTGTCCTTACCTGACCAGATCAGGTGCCTGAATGATGGCCTCCACCAGGTTATTGCGGATGAGGGTGCGGTCCTGCTCGTGGATGTTGAACGCCAGCGGCTCGCCCACGTTAGAGTGGCGCTCGTGCCAATACTGCGAGATCATGTTCTTCAGGTAGATCACACCTGAGAATAGAAATATGAAGATACTGAATGATCCTAAAATGCATGTAGCATGTAGCAGTGTGGATACATTTAGTTGTAGATTGTTGAATGATTTTGATGCTGTAGATTTTTAATAAGATAAGTTATGACAGGACCTGTCACCAATAAGTGACATGGATCTACAATAACTTTTTCTATAGCAGGACAGCTGAATTTAGCAGGACACATGCACAAGTGTTCTCACAATGCCCTCAGCTGTGATTGTACAACACATGTGATCGGCACTAAGTTAAACCTTTTGTGCATTCAGAAGTGGTTGCTCTTCTTTCTTGTTATCTATTCAGGGCTCAAAATACTGGGTGCATGTGCACCTTAGTGCACACAAATTTGAAGTTGTGCACCCAATTTTTTTCTGTGGGTGCACTGGTTAAAATATACCTACAAAATAGTTTTGTAGGTATTTTTGTACATAATAAATTATAATAGTATGCAGGATATTCTTAGCATCTAAGTGTCAGAAAAGTAATAAAATTTTTGTTGTAGTACTTGTTTAAGATTTAGCTCCCATTTCAGATTCAAGCTCAGAAGAGGAGCAGTAAGATCTGTAATTAGGTTTTCTTTTATATGGAGCACCCAAAAAATTTTTTGTGTGCCTAATTTTTTAGGTTGGGTGCACCAGTGCACCTATTCCCAAAAATGAATTTTGAGCCCTGCTATTGTATGTTGTATTAGATGGGTAACTCGTCTCTCTTTGCAGCCAAGTGCAGAATGTGTGAAAAGGCTTAAGCCAAGGGCAAGAGTCTTGGATAACTGCCATGTAGCACAAAGTCAGGCCACAAATATACACCAGTAATGATGTATCCCTGGCACAGCCATTGGAGTTGATTCATTCCCACCAGTGTTTACATGTACATGTACTTCTACTCTGTTCTCTCACCTGCTTGGCGTACCGGCATGGCCACCTGGTCTGTCATCACTACTTGCAGCAGCAAGGGGGCAAAGCCAATTATCTTGTGCATCTAGAGATAGAGAAAGCAAAACATAAAGTCATCAACAGAACATGTTACATGCGCCTTATTGTAATAAGGTTTCATGTGTTCTTGTGGAGCCTTATCCGTGGCTAAAAACTGTAGAAAGTCCCTGAACAACAAAAAAAAGACATATCACATGTTGACTTGGATTTCAACAAAAATCCTCTAACTCTAAGCTTAGTATTCTCTATAAGTACCCTCTCTTTGTAACAATCAGCAGGAGATGTCTTATGTCTAGCAGGCAGTACTAGAAATGTTGGAATTGAACAATGACTGAATTGAACAATGTCAAGGCTGGATTTTTTGTTAGTCACGAATACAGACACATATACAAATCATTAATATAGGTCTAACGCAAGGTTACCAGTTTACGGTCGAATTATGGAAAATTCCATTTTTTGTGAAAACGCATGGGCAGAACTAAATATTTAACCCTTGTGAAGAAACAGTAGTTCGTCGGTTATAAAAGTGTGTGCCGTGTCATTTCTTCCCTGCGTTTTTTGTGCCGTGCCAGCTTTTATTTATTTAGTAGTAAACAGTGGAGAATTGCTCTAGGGTGACCAATTAACGGTCACTTGGACCTTTGTCCTTGTAGTGCTCTACGTATAAGCGCACATAAACAAACACTTTCTGCAAAAAAATACCGAAGTGGTCAACAACAAACCACGGGAAAATGTCAGTGTGTAGCCCACTGTCGCATGCAGTAGCGCTGTGGTGCTAAATGAGGCTGGACCTGCATTTTTCCCTTAGTAGAACGTGACATAATGGCCCAAGATGTTCCATTAAACCGTTGCAATAGATAACAAGCGTCTATGCCCCTCCAGACACAACGGAACGTCGTGAAAACCCGAGCAAACTTTTCGCTACGGACGCAGGAAGCCATTTTGGCATTTTGGCATAAATTAATGTGCAACAGCGCCACAGTGCGACTTTTACGTACCTTTCTGCAGTTTAAAACCGTGACGTCACCTGATGCAACGATGATGATGATCAAAATGGCGTTCGAAAAAACGCTAGTCGGCGAGAACTGCCACTGTACTTTTGCTTGTTTATTTCAAGGTGTTTGAAAGTTTCATACCTCACAACACCATGGATGATTGAAATAAGAAAGCCAGGTTTGATGCCAGCTATCGTTACAATTTCCTAGCATTCTTGGGATTTTAAAAAATCGACGAAATGTTGAGTATTGTATTATGTGAAAAACACAACATGCGTCCAAGGCCATGTTACCTTGCTGTCCCGTCATATCGGAAGATACTCTGCTGTGTCGCTGAATGCAAACTTATTCCCATCCAGTGAATAAATAAAAGACACATATAAGGATCATATTCATGTTATTCTTTGTTGCTCACGACCGTTGATTTTTGGCTGGTACACCTCGAAGCGTGGCCGTGTCACTAACTGACCGTAAACTGGTCCTGCACGTAAACTGGTAACCTTGCGTTACATGCATGTGATTGACTTGACTAACCCAACACTGTTTGCTTACATGTACAACAGGTCTACCAGTACACATACTGTAAGTGTTTTTGTATGATCAAAATGCCAAACTAAAAACATCATTCTGATGTCTTGTTGCAACAGTCAAGAACAAGCTTTATGCACATTGTACTTTTCATGTTGAGTCTTGAAGGCTGCAAGTATGAAAGTAATGGAAAGGAATTTGGTAACAATACTCAACAGAGTACAGGATGATTGATGTATGGAGTTCATTCAAAAGTAGACAAAGGGCTGACATTTAATCTTCCATGTACATGACACATACTGTACAGACAAAAAGAAAACTAGGACTGCAATCCTCTAAATGTTTTTTTTTTTTAGCATTCAGCCTTAAATCACACTTCTTATCTGTTTGATACCATGAAAGACTTAATGTTATATTTTTGCTTTGGAAGAAATACATGTATGCAAAGGCCAAATGTTCTTAGGTCTTTTATCTTTCTTAGACTTTCATGTGATCACAAGTGTTTCCTGGTAATAAATCACTCGCGATGAAGGGGTACATGTGCATGTACAGGGTATGAGAATACAAACTTTTATATACAATATCTTCGAAGTGCACTTTATTAAATGACTAATGACAAGATCATGAGTTTTAATATTAATGTCATGCTACAACTTCCTGAGAAATGCAGTCTGAACTGAAAATAGATCCCGGTGTTCTTATCAGTCGCATAACCGCCTGGGGTTGAGTACATGTGATAACGCACGTGGAAGGGAGTACAGCTGTTCGTGTGCACCTGACAGGCACATCACAGCCGTCATGCCTGTACCGATCACGTCCGAACCGAGCGATTGCGACATCAGCACCGCAAAATTATCCCCCGAAAAGAATAAATGTTCCTCGCGCCCTTCCCAATGCATGTTCACCTTAGTAAGCGACAATAACGGCCATGAGGGTGTGTTAGTGTTTAAAGACGCCCAACCCTACGTGGTGTGGCCGTAGATGTGACGGAATTCGCTGTCTTGACATGTGCGATCGAGGCCACACGAATTTTTCCAGCCCCCCTCCCCACACTTCTGCATGCTGGTGCACATCCCGCAAAAACCTTTCCAAACCCGACTAAATATTTTACTCATTAGACAATAAATCACCCATTTCTATGGTAATTGTAAGAGTTCTTAGCTTACAGATACAGAAATAAGTGTACTTTCTTGCTCGTAAGTTACAAGAGGGAAGTTTTGACGCGGATTTTATCGATGAAAATGTTACAAGTGTGCACGCCATGCCGCCGGCGCGACTAGGCTGCAGGTTTCCTGTACCTCCGAGAGCTTTTCCTCGGCCTGCTGCCGCAGAGTGTGGTCTATAGTGGCCTGCAGAATCTCCACGATGTTCTGGAAATCCATGGTTGTGGACCTGTCGGGATTCCGCGGGATAAAATATCTCCAGTTCCCGCTAGTTTCGTGTTAAAAAAAATACAATGTCGCACCTTCCGGCCGGCGCGAAATTTCAAAGAAGCTGGTGCGCATGTACAGAACCATATGGCAGTAAAATTGCATATTTGGGTTTTTCCTTTCGCTAAGACAGAAATTACTAAAATTATTTATAACAACATTTTTATATTTTTATTAGTTGTATGTGTCAGTACCTTTTGAGTGGAAGTTTTGGCTATAGAAAATTTAATATCTTGATTTCACGACATTACTTATTTACGACGATCGCAAATTGACGTAACAAGTGTCATGCTCTGTTAGGGTCACGTGACTTGCACTTTTTCCCGGGAAATGGCAGAAATATCATTCTGTCAATAGCAGCTAACATGATGATGTGAATAATTTTCCCACAATCGACAGGATGATCCTATCCATAGAGAAAATTTCTCTGTCACTGACAAGATCATCCCCTGGTTTACTGCTAGGAACCCCAGACTTTTTCCGTGCGTCATTTATAAGATTCATTCAGGGATTCAGTCACGCAAGCCCACTAAGGCTATTGACAGGATCATCCTGTCAATAGTGGAAGAATTTGCACTATTGACAGGATCACCCTATCAATAACAGAAAAATCATTGCCAGGATGGTCCTGCTAAATTTTCTGCTATTAACAGGATGATCCTGTCTATCTATCATTCTCAACATTTTATTTTGTCATCCTCGCCCGGCACCCCTCTTTCTTCTGCTGATCCTTACGGCTCCCTTTATAAAGAGATGATTTTACGATCCAAGATGACGTCGTCTTTATTATTATCTGGATGGACATGTTGGAAGGAACAGGAATTCCTGCACCATCAGCTGACTAGTCACAATACGGTCGCTAGAGGGCGTAACCTAACCTGGCTGAACTGCCAACAACACCGGAGAACTCTCTTTGTCGTTCACGGGCAGGTTTGTAAGTTCTAGAAAATACCGCTGCACAAGTATTTCTATCCCATATCATCATGAGGCCATATCATCATAAGGTAATCAAATAAAGAGTCCGTCTCAGAATTTGTGTTTTTTAAAGAATTTATTGCAGACAGTAGACACAAAATCACCGACAGATTGCAACGCCTTCAGGAAGCACAGTGCAAAGCAGTGAGTAATATACTAGTAGTCCAACCCATGTCACCCTACTGCTTATTGTATAGGTCCTATACTAATTACATGCATCTATCTATGCCTGCCTATTTTTAACTTCTACCAGTATGTGTTTTATTCACTACATTAGGTTACTAGTATCTTATATCTAGAACTACTTCTGTATTCAATGTGATGTTTCTAGTTATCTCTTCTAGTATATGATGCGTTTATATATAGCTTACTAGTATTATGAAATAACTACCTAAGTTTACCATTTACATTAAATCTATTATCTCTACATAGATGAATTTCTACTCTCTCACCAAATCTAAACCATAGTGTCCCTGCACTGATTTAAACAAGCACACTAGTATCGCAGAAAGCACTGCTGTGGGTGAATATCCCGGATAGCTATCTTCCAATTTTAATTGTACACCAGTAAGACAATACAATACATAATTCAGCGAATCTAAGTACTAGTAGTAGAAATTACAGAACAGACCCGCTATCTATTATTAATCTCCAAGCAGATGTAGCATCTATATTTGTCGCTCAGTCGTAGTGTTCAAAACGTATGTTCTTGAACGCCGTTCTAGTAGTGGACCTTTTTACATTAAACTATTCACCTTCTTCTGCAAAGAAGAAGACGAAGAGTTAAACAAAGTTGCACTGCGAAAATGCGTACAAAAACACGCGTCTGGTTAAAAAAACACTGAGACTGAGCCAGATCTTATATCTGCTTGGTGATTAGCTATCATCACCATGAATCTGGGTAACAATGTACAAGTCTTTTATTGGAATAAGAAAATAAAATAAAAGAAGAATTCGAATAAAAGGGAAGTTTATAGTTATACCTAGATGATACGCAGTTGAATAGATAACGAATTAAAGCAGTCTAAAAGAGCGCAAAACAGTGTAGCACACATAGACTATCAGAATGTACTTCTTTGTAGTGTACAGTAACATTCTTGATGTCTATCCACCAAAACAAAACCAAAACACTAAAAACCACGTGTACATGTAGCTAGTAATGCCCTAATGGTCTACGTTTTGTTCATCACGGGATCTACTATGATTTCCTACAGGCCCTATACTTGTATACTTTCCAACAAGCAAAAATAAGATCATGAATAAACTGTTCTGATGAATCCTAATCTAGATCCGCCCTTAGCGTCTAAATTCAGTCATTTACGAAAACACATAGCTGCTGTAAGATAAGCCTGTCCTACAAACAAAACAAAAGAAAGATTACCAGCAGGAAAGAAATCAAGCAAAGAAAGAAAGCACTGAGAAAGCAAGAAAGAAGGCAAGAAGGAATGAACGAAGAAAAGAAGGGTAATCTTGATTTATCCTGCATTGTTTACAGAGACACTGTAAACAAAGACACTGTAAACAGAGGCACCGTAAACACACAAGTGAAATCACCCTTCCTTAATTTCCAAGCAGATCTTTCGTTTGGGTATAAGACAGTATCAAATTGGCCAGCTTGTAATGCCCTGTATCCATTGGTGGGGAAATGGATACAGGCTGGCCAATTTGATACTGTCTTACCCCCAACGAAAGATCTACTTGGAGATGAACCCTTCCTCTCTATCATTATGATATCAGATGTTGACCTTATCAATACGCTATTTCCTCACGGAGCAAGCGGTACGTGGCAGATGAAAGCCTTGGGCTTGTTGCAGCGCGCGGCCCTCCAGCGGTACTGGGCCGCCTGCCGTGCCACGGGGCAGTCCTTCTCCTCCGTGTTGACGGGCGGGTCGGGGAACCAGTCGGTAAAGTCGTTTCCACCCAAGGCCATCCCGTCAGCCCACAGCCAGGTTCCCTCCAGGTCCTCATCACTCAGGCCTACCCACAGACTTGGGGAGCCAGCACTGAAAGGGACATGTAGAAATCGTGCCTTGTATAAATCTTTTTTTAGGATCGCTCGTTTTAAAAACACGTTATCACCCCAAAACCTACATTTCCTGCTGATTCACTCACATACATGTACTGTTGATGAAGTTTTACTACGAAAATTCCTTTCAAAGCAAGTATCCCTAAGCTTGCCTGTGTTAGAATCTTCCGCTGTCTAGGATTATGATTGGACTGCTGGGTGTAATGTAGCCAGGCTATCGCTAAGCTAACCGTTGTCATGATGTATGTTCTTAGTCTGATCAACTCCTATAAATTTGACAAAGAAAAAATGTTTCCCATGACTAGTCCGACATTTCCCTTGAAACAATGAGCCGTGGACACATTCTTTAGTTGTTCTAAACAGTTAGCTCATAAAACAACAAATCAAGTTTCTCACCTGATCAGTTTGGTCTTGAGTCTAGCGACAGCAGCAGCATCCCTCCACATGTAGATGTCCCCTCCGTCCTGCTGACACACCTGCCTGGCGTCGCTGTAGCTCTTAGCGTTCTTCCCGCCCCAGAAGCGGAAACAACCGTCCCTGTACCTCCTGTATCCGTCGGGGCAGTCTGGATACAAACATGATAGGCTTTATCATTGCTATTTGAACAAATAAACATTGACGTCATTTGACTCTCAGTTTTATTCACGGGTTACCTATATCTTGCCACCCGATTGACCTGTAAAAAAAGAGTTTGGGCTAGCCAACAGCTAAGATATGCGGGCGGACTGACTGACGTCCTATTATGCCTGTACTGAGGCTGCTGATTAATTTTCATTGCGATTACAAAGCTTCGGTAATGCTTTATGATGTGGATGTGTAAATTCAAACAGAAAATCATAGATTTCTGCAACACCATATACATACAAGAAAAGTCGATGCTACAACAATAGTACGTTAAAATAGCGTTATTACAGCGCAGCGCGGTCTCCCGTGCTCAATGCAGAGCATAGGGTTTGGTGCCCATATCCATTTCCATAGCCCTTGGGCGACACACAGTTGTGCAGGGCATTACAGCAGGCGGCTAGTCCGCTGGTAGTGCTGTGTGTTTGACCTTCCCACATTCTTTCTCATATGTGCTGAGTGCTAATAAATAAATAAATAAGCAGAGAAAGAAGTGTGTACCATTTTTTAAAGTCTTTGGTATGACCCGGCCGGGGTTTGAACTCACGACCTCCCGGTTACAAAGTGAGCACTCTACCAATTGAGCTATTGCACCGGTGAAGCGCGGGCTTACATTAAAATTTCCACATATCAATATTCCTTTGATCTTACATGAAATTGTGAAGACAAAAATTAAATAAAGAAAATAGATATAGAATAGTTATACGTACCCAGCGGCGCCGGCGTCTGAGGAGTTTGTGGAACGGTTATGCGAACTGAATTAAATCAGGAAGGAAATATGATACATTTAAACTTACATGTAAATTCCAGAGTAAATTCTAGATAAGGTGTCCACTGGAAAACTAAAAGGACATGTATTACAAATGCTTTCTTTACGTTCAGCAGTCAACACTATCAACGTTTTATGACAATAATCAAAACCTTTATCCATGACAAAGTCTCACCACGTCGTAGATCTCTATATGTACCTTTGGAATAAAGTTTGGCATCGTACTTTAAATCTCTTACCGTTGCAGCTAAGTCCATCACTGTCGAGGAGGAAACCGTCTATACAGGAGCACTCAAAACTTCCGATGGTGTTGGTACAGATCTGCTCACATCCGCCATTGTTGGTCTCGCACTCGTTAATTTCTGCAAGATGATAATGAGACTGTCAACTAACCAATCAGAAAAGTTATGCTCACTCTATTATATTGGATTCTTTTTTTTTAACAACAATACATATATTCAAGTTAAAGTATAAACTTTATTTAGTTTGATGCTTTCATAATTGAGTAACATACGATAAGGTAGATAAACGATAGCTCACCATTGCACAGTGTACCATTGAATCGGAAACCAGGATTACAAACTAAAGCCCCATCTGTAGCGTCATATGAAAGAGAAAACATGTCTTGGTAAGTACAAAATGTTGGAATATACGAGTATCAAGCATTATCAACACAATAGAATATTGTCCAATTTTTCATAGTTTTCTTTCCTGTGATGAAAAATACCATTGGACTTGCTTAAAGGGACAATTAGAAAACACTAGTTTGTTCTATAAACAAAATGATCTAATAGTTTAAAAATCTATCTGAAAATCTTTAACGGTTAAGTGCAATGAAGCACAAACTTGTGTCATTTCATGCCCAGCAAAAGAATTACAACCTACGACTCAAAAGTCGTCAGCATTGCTTCTTCAGAACGAAACAAAAAACAGAGGTTCTGCTGCAGTGTCAACGAACGACATCGTGGGGGGGGGGCTATTATCTTACTATTTTTTCGGTAGACAACACCAAAACACATTTCAAATTTTATAACAATCCATCTAATGCTTCTTGCGTTATGCTGTTGAAACCCAAACATAAAAACAAGTATGCATTTAAACGCTATACCAAAAACGTGTCTGATCTTCTTGGTGACGGTAATTAGCATTGTAATATAACATCTTTTAAGAAAAGAATTAAAAGAATTATTGACGTCCTACCGAAGCACGTCAAGCCGTCATCCGCAAGGAAAAAACCGTCCCTACAGGAACACTCGAAACTTCCGATGGTGTTGGTACAGATCTGCTCACAGCCGCCATTGTTGGTCTCGCACTCGTTTATGTCTACATGAGTAAAATGTGTCATCTAAGTCGCCAGAAAAAGCTAGACTCACTCTGATGATTTGGGTTTCTTGACGCTATTTGCAAAACTTGAGTTTCTCGCGAGACAAAAAAAAACAACTTTAAAGTAAATGTGAAGAGTCAAATATAATCGGTTAAAATCGTTGAAGTAAAACTGGCTGGTCACTTTGGCTTACACATCTTTCATTCTTACGGGAGATGATGTAACAAGGTTTTTTCATCTGCAGAACGTTATGATCTGTTAGGCAACGTCCTTCAATTTGCTGCTATTTGATATTTTCATAATTGACTAAAATCCAATAAGGTAGATAAATAATCACTCATCATCACCATTGCATAGTGTGTCGTTAAATTGAAAACCAGGATCACATACTGAAGTCTCGCCTAATGCGTACGCGTTGCATAAAACTTAAAATATCTTTGTAAGTATTGAGTGCTGGTATACTAGTATATAATGCAGTATGTACAGTACGCTGAAGTCTTAGTCAAACGTTCTTTTATTATGTTGAAAAGAAACACTGATATTGATTTTAAAAAAAGGCTAGAGATATTCTAGTCAGATATTCTGTGCCAGACTTTGTAACTGTAAAAGTAATAAAAAAAACATAAAAAGATCCGGCATTAAACGAATGACTCATTCTTGTCCTATAATCAATCTTCCCCATAATGGACCTTAACATCACAAAACATGGAGAACAACGTACCGATAGACGTTGACATTGACTCAGTTGTCATACCTCCCCCTCCTGTGTTGAAAACAAGAGATAGATGGTTTGAATTTAATAGTAGCGCTGCGGTCTAATTCAATTCATTGAATTAGCATAAAGTTGCAGGACAAATAACCGTCAAACTCAGTTTGAGATCTACTCCC